GCATTGGATGGAGACACGCAGATAAAGCAAAGATTCCCACCTTGTCCAGTGAGGACAAAAAGTGTGTTTAGTCAGCTTGTCTGGCTGACAAGGAGGTGAGCGCACACCTATCCACAGAGCACAGGAGTGTGGCACTATATATTTCACCTATCACTGGAACGTTTATAGAAGTGTAAAGAGGACTGTTATGCATATTGGCAGAATCACATCTTTACACACTTCATGTTTATGTTGCACTTGTTTGTAGCACTGTGTTTTCACGTTATTATTATCACTATCATTTAATATATATAGTTTTTGTTATTAATATGGAGCGCGGCACGTATATGTATATCTAGATACATATCATTATTTATGGTTTAGCAATGGCATTCTGTTGCTGGGTTTATCAAAATATCCCAAAGTCAGCAGGTCCATTAATCCTCCAGAACAGCTTTAGGCCACTAGACAAAGCAAATCAAAGGTTGTTGGGATAAAGAAATGTTAGAAGACCATGGAGTCAAAGAAATGTGAGGTTGACGTGTACTTTAAGGACTATGAACCCAAAATTTCATGTTCTTGATATGTGCCTGCTGTACTGTGTACTTGCATAGCAATATATCCTGTTATTTGTATTGATTCCTTTGTGCGAAATGCCTGGTGTTCCTGTCAGTCCCTCTGCTTTCTCATTAAAAACTGACCACACTGGACATAACAGCAAATCCTTTCCAGTGTGGTCAGTTTTCTGCTCTCTAATGATCAAACATGTCCTGACACCCCCTTCCCCTACACTGGGAAGATCAGTGTGCTGCTGTTTCTCTCCCCCCGCCCCAACTTTTGTGCGCAGAGGTCATGAGCAAAAAAAAAAAAAAAGGAAAAAAGTATTTAGTTTTCATATCTATACACAGATGTTTTGCCTTTTATTTCCATTGTAAACTGAAAAAGGGTTGTTCTACAAGGTGATGGTTCACATATACTTTAACACCCCGGTCACATCTGGTGCACCTTGGCATGCGATTTGCATGACATGCGACTTGCAAATCGTATGCCAAGTTGCACCTTATTGTCCGCTATTAGAGCGGTCAAATCAGTGCGGTTCCGACTTGGCCGAATCCGCACCGATTTCTAAAGTAGTACATATACGACTTTTGGTGTGATTTGCATAGAGATCTGTGTCAGATGTCTTGCAAATAGTACCTGAAAGCGGCAGCTCACCAGACTTTGAAATCGTGCGACTTCACTGTAAGTCGCACGATTTTAAAGTCGTGCTCGATGTCCCCGGGGGGGGGGGTAGGTTACGGGGGTAAAGCATCAATCTGCACCCAACAATTCAAGGCAAACTCCATTTAGAAAGAAGACATATAGGAAGGTGGTTTAGGAATTGATATGAATGACAGTGGCCATCGTTCAGCCCTGAAGACTGGTGGCACCCAGTGGCAGAAAGGAATTACTGCAATGGCGGGGGTATGTGGGGAGCAGCTTTGGACTGAAGTGGGGGGGGGGGGGGGGGGGGTGGGGGTAGTGCAGTAAAAACTACTTTTTTATTTTTACTTCTGCTGAGCGGCTTTGTTTTTAATCTAATTCAGCACTCCTGTGTCCACCCACGTGTGTCAAATTTCTTTTTTTTTATGATTCCACCAGAAAGACCAGCGGATATGGCTGAATTCCAATCACATAGTACTTGTCACAAAGCAGCACCACGATGATGTCACTCAAAGGGAAGGCACAAGGATGGAACATACCTGTTTACTACATAAAGGATCTCCCTAAAAGCAGGCACTGCATGTCAGTATGGTTTAATTACAAATAACCGTCACAGATGTAACATGTTAAACACATACTGAGCAGAAAATGATTACAATGAAGAGCATTGAGGAGGAACACAGAGGGAATGAACAGAAGGTTAATGCAAAGAAAAAAAAAGGGGGGAAAAAAAATGAAAACAATTTCTAAGAAAAATAGATTTTATAGAATGTTCTAAGCAGGTAGTTGACATTTAAATGTCAGTAAGCTCAGCAACAAATTTACTGACAGAATGACATTTAAATCTCCATTAAGGGAAAACAATGGGTTCCTGTGTAAACTCACTCCAAGAGGAAAACGAGAAGGGAACAAAAATGTAAAGGGAAACTCTAGTATCTTTTACAGAATGTACATCTTTTTTGTGATAAATGCAACACTGAGCTGAAAATATTTGGTCACTTTCACAATTTTTACTTGGTGGTTGTTTCACATTTGAAATATTCGATTTTATGTAGAGATCTGTAATGGCAGCAAATGAAATGGCACCTTTGAAATACAGGCTTAAAAAAAAAAAAAAAAAATGTAGTTAGTAGTAGGTAGATTTTAGTCTTGCCTTTTTCTTTTTAATTATTAAAAGGTGAATATTCATTTCAAGTGGAATTCCAGGCAAAACCTAGTTTTAAAATGTTCCCTCCCCCCTCCTAACACTTATGCTGACTAACCTGTGCAAGAAGGATGTATATACTTACCTATTTTCAGCCTGCTCTAGTCACGTGATCTGGCTCCCCTGTGCCAGTCAACAGTGGCTACAGGGGAGAGGAGGGACCACAGACAACAAATGGACAATTAGGAGGCTATGGGTGACGTCACCACTCCAAGGCATTCAGAGCCATTGCCGAGTGCCCTTACCTTTCCCCTGCAGCCACCGCTGATGACCAGACCGGAGCAGAGTGGGCCAAAATTAGGTAAGTATACAGATCTTTCTTATACCAGTTAGTTAGCATAGGAAGAAGTAGCAGCATTTTGGTTTTTTAAACCAATTCGGTTTATCCTGGATTTCTACTTTAAGTGCACCTAAACCCAAAATAAATCGTAATAATGTGCAGCATACCAGTCCTTGGATGTGGTAGCCAAGTTTGTTTTTGTTTTTTTTTTTTAGACTTCTCTTCCCTTATTTTCACCTGGTGATCCTGCCAGTAATAGTTCCTGTCATAGGTCAACAATGCTCACTCACTGTAGTGAGTCACAGCAGCGTTGTCACCCTGGGCAGCTCTCCTAATTTGGGCTACTAAAAAACACCTCTCATCATTACATAAGGGGAGGTGTTCTTGAGTTCACCAAACAGAACTGGGAAGACTGGTAGCATCGTTTGATATTTCAGATCAATGCATAGAAGTGACAGGGAAGAAGGGACACAATATTTACGGGGTTTATTTACGGATGAATCAACAGAAAGCATTCTGTATTGGCAGTAATTGTACTTGGCCTGAAGAAAAAAAAAGAAAAAAAAACTGCATTCATCAGATCTGGACTGGTAAGCTGCAATTAATTTTTTCATTCTTTGTCCTAGGTACATTGAAAACTATGTCTGGTAACTTTTTATGGGTTCTACACTATAGTGCCTGGCGTAATGAAAGCCATGATCAGCTGTGTGCTAGCAGCCATTGCGTCCCCCATACACTTTCACAGGCATCCGGCACACAGCACCTGGCAGCTGAAGCTGCATAAACACATGGCCCATTTATGGACTACAGGCTTCAGCACCCATGTAAATGAACACTTAAAACTATTATTTTCAGTTGAACTTTACAATAATAACTCAAAATGTGTTTCCCCCCCCCCAAAAAAAAAAAAAAACATAACAGTTTTCCTAAAAACAAACTAGCAGACTTGATGACAGGCCTTCAGGATAAGCTGAATGAATACATCAAAGCTCCTTCAAAAACGTAACCCAAGGAGCAAGGAGGACCTTTTCTTAATGCAGGCTTCTAGTGACTGACCAGTGATTTATAGTGGAGGTCATAAATAATATTATTATACATACACTATTTTGCCAAAAGTATTGGGCCAGCCCCCAGATCATTGGATTCAGGTGTTCCAATCACCTCCATGGCCACAGATGTATAAAATCATCACCTAGGCATGCAGTCTGCTTCTACAAATATTTGTGAAAGAATGGATCGCTTTCAGGAGCAGTGTGTGGCCTTCAGATTAGCACAACAGTGCGTAGAGAGCTTCATAGAATGGGTTTCCATGGCCGAGCAGCTGCATCCAAGCCTTACATCACCAAGTGCAATGCAAAGCGTCGGATGCCGTGGTGTAAAGCACGCCACCACTGGAGACGTGTTCTCTGGAGTGACCAATCATGCTTCTGTCTGGCAATCCGATGAACGTGTCTGGGTTTGGCGGCTGCCAAGAGAACGGTACTTTCCTGACTGCATTGTGCCAAGTGTAAAGTTTAGTGGAGGGGGGATTATGGTGTGGGGTTGTTTTTCAGGGGTTAGGCTTGGCCCCTTAGTTCCAGTAAGGGAACTCTTAAGGCGTCAGCATACCAAGACATTTTGGACAATTTCATGCTCCCAACTTTGTGGGAAGAGTTTGGGGATGGCCCCTTCCTGTTCCAACACGACTGCGCACCAGTGCACAAAGCAAGGTCCATAAAGACATGGAGGAGCCAGTTTGGGGTGGAGGAACTTGACTGGCCTGCACAGACTCCTGACCTCAACCTGACAGAACACCTTTGGGATGAATTCGAGCGGAGGCTGGGAGCCAGGCCTCCTCCCCCGACATCAGTGCCTGACCTCACAAATGTGCTTCTGGAAGAATGGTCCAACCTTCCCATAGACACCCTCCTAAACCTTGTGGATGGCCTTCCCAGAAGAGTTGAAGCTGTTATAGCTGCAAAGGGCGGAGCCAACTCAGTATTGAACCCTACGGACTAAGACTGGGATGCCATTAAGGTTCATGTACCTGTAAAGGCCGGGACCAATACTTTTGGCAATATAGTGTATATATAGCGGAGGAAAATGTATAGTTTTTTTTTTTTTTACAGTAAGAAAACACCAGCTATTACTTGAGGATGAAAAACTATTTTGTGTTCGCTTGCTCATGGTTTTTAAGGCTCATGCTCCAAGGATCACTGCAATATATCAACTCCTCTTGGAGTATCCTGAAAACTGCCACTGTGTAGGTTTATTGGTGTTATAGGTAATGCATTTCTTCTTTATTCCCCCAGTAAGATCAGATATCTACATATCAGATATATAGACATGGCGTACCTTTTGGGCCTCTCATTCAGGCTGGTGCTGCGGGCTCTGAAGCTCCCTTTCTCAGGAGTGTCGTCAAAGCTCTGCAGAACATTGGAGCGCAGACCCTAGGGCAATGGCACAGCAAGTCATACAACTGTTCCAGTACACATAGCTATGCTTCCCGTTTAAGGAATGGGCCTTACCTTAGTTATGTAAGGCACAAAATCTCTTCTCAATGACAGTCTGCATCGGATGAACCACATAGCAATGACATGGTGGGCCAGGAACACAATGTATTGATTAAACCTGGAGGAAGGAAACCAAAGAAGTCTTATCCTATTAAATAGTATGCTACAATGTAAGCAAAAACAGATGTAGATATAAAGAAAAAATGAATGCAGCTTCATATTCATTATACTAGTCAGGGGCGGACTGACCATTTGGGAACTCGGGCACTGCCCGAGGGCCCGGGGTCAGAAGGGGGCCCCATGAGATGCCCCTGGTACCTATCATAGGCTTTTTTGGGTGTGGTTTGAGTGTGGGCAAGGACACAGGGGCCCCATGATCCCCTATTGCCCGAGGGCTCCATGAGTTGTCAGTCCGCCCCTGATACTAGTATATCAGTTATTCCACGCTCTAATGCAACTAGTATAAGAAGGGGAAGCAAAGCCTCAATCGGTCTGCTGCTGCTCTTTCATGGTCTAATCAGCAAGCGGGGGGGGGGGGGGGGGGTGACAAGGCACTGCTGCATCCTTCCTATAGTCTACAATTGTAACCGATGTACGTCATCCGCCTAGCTATGCTTTGTGGAAAGGCTTTATATGTATTTAGCAGATTGCCTGGCATCCAGCTTTAACCCCTTCGTGCCGGCGCCTCCCAGCCCTTTAAGGGTTTCAGAAGCCGGGAGGTGGGGCGAGATTTCAGGTCATGCGACAGATAAAAATTTATTTTGGTGGTATTTACTCACCACTGGGATTTTTATTTTTTTTGCTATATAAATGAAAGTCCAAAAAATTTGAAAAAAAAAAGTGTTTTTCCTATACAATTTTGCAATTAAATAATTTCTTCATAAATCTTGGCCAAAATGTATTCAGTTATCTTTTTAGTAAAAAAAAATATCCCAAATTAGTTTATAACCAAAAATTATAATTTTTCAAAAAGTTTTGTACATTTTTTATATTTTTTTTAACATACTGTCACCCTAGCAGTACAGTGTCACCATAGTGACACTGTACTACTTGTGGGGTGTAAGGAAGATTTTTTTTTTTTTTTTTTTACACTGATTGCTTTTACACCCATAAAGGCTGTAAAAGCAATAATTTCTCCTTCTCTCTGGCTGCATTCTTGCAGCCATTGAGAAATACTGGGAAAGCTGTGATTGGTCACAGCTTGTCACATGGTACAAGGCTGTTGTGAATAGCCTTGTATCATATGACCTCTGTGATCATTCACAGATTTCACACGTAGTAAGCAATGATGTCAGAAGCTCCAAGGGAGCACGCACAATTCAAAATGGCGGGCGGCGTTTATGAATGGCAACCTGCCCCTGGCACTGTCACCGTCTGGCTGGTAATATACAGCGGCCGGACGGCAAGTGGTTAACCAGATAAAAAAACGCACTGGACTGCATCTAGTGTAAACTATCCCTTAAAGTGACCTTGTTACCAGCCAAAAACATTGTAGGTAAAAACAGAAAAATTAGGTATTTCAAATGCTTACGTGCAGCATTTTTCCTTGCATGAACAATTTAATTCACTTGCAATGTGCCTTTGAACTTTCTAGAAAATTTGACAGCTCCAGGAGCAGTCAATTCTTTAGTGCAGCCCACTCACTGTTTGCACATCATAGCCCTCTCCTCTTCTGGGAATGTCTTAATTACTCTCTGTGCTGGACCAGCTCCTCCCTCCATCTCTCACCTCCCTACATAACCTTCCATGTAGCTGCCAGAGGGCAAAGCAAAGTAATTCTATAGAGCAGTGTTTCACAACCTTTTTTCAGTCAAGGCACCCTTTAAAATAATGGACAACTTCAAGGCACCCTCTAAAACTGGTTCTCAACCTGTGGGTTGCGACCCCTTTGGGGGTCGAACAACCCTTTCACAGGGGTCGCCTAAGATCATCAGAAAACACATATTTCCAATGTGTAAAGTGCAGCTACTGTGTAGAAAGCAGCTACTGTGTTGAAAGCAGTAGTATTGAAGGTAAAACGACACTCATGAATAATTACTGGGTAAATAATTTTATGGTTGGGGGTCACCACAACATGAGGAACTGTATTAAAGGGTCACGGCATTAGGAAGGTTGAGAACCACTGATCTAATATAGACAGTAACGAGGCACCCAATTCTAAAACTGAAAAAACTATTTGAATAGTTTTATATAACGCAGCAACACCCACACATGTAGGACACCCAACATTAGAGGTGATTTATTCTTCCAAAGCAAATACACTTTCACACACTGGTACTGACTAGTATTCCAGTGTTTCTCTTATCCCTCAGTTTTTCTTCATCACTGAGCTAATGTGACCCTAGCACTGATGGAGAGGGGCAGGGGAGGGTGAAACTAGGATGCTGTGCAGGCAACCAACATTCACCTTATCAACTGATGTCATTGGTTGTCAGGATGCCGGCGCTAGAAGGTCGTAATGGCGCACAAAGAAGACCTGTGGCTTTGTGTAACTAAAAAGACAGGCTTCTTCCACCAGCTGGCTCGTATACAAGTTTTGGGCAACTTTTAGACATTTTGCCAAGGCACCACTGAAGAACCCTCAAGGCACCCCAGGGTGCCTGGGCACACTGGTTGAGAAAGACTGCTATAGAGTGTACTCTGAGTGATCGCTCCAAGTCTATTGGATGTGCTGACATCACATTCAAGATGGCGGTGCCAAGCATGCATTCTTTTGGAGGTTTACACAAGGGAGGCTTTTTTCAGGTAAACAACATGCATAAAATACATTGAATGAACATACAAACTTGCAATAATATCGCTTTACTTTTGCCTTCCAGTTTCGTAAGGTTTTTCCCTGTTAACTAAGTTTTTGGACAAGTACTCACCTTGAAGGATTTGTGTACGGCAGAGAAATGGCAAACACGCTTGCATACTGTTCTGCAGCAAAGTTCCCATAAAGGTGGGGCAACCGAACCAGGGCTGAAAGAAACCATTAGAGGGTATGTTGGAGAACGTTGGGGAGGGTATGTTGGAGAACGTTGGGGAGGGTATGTTGGAGAACGTTGGGGAGGGTATGTTGGAGAACGTTGGGGAGGGTATGTTGGAGAGGATATGTTGGAGAACACTGAAGTCAGAGGTAATCGCCAAACTGGCCTCATAACATGATGCAAGTGCACCTGCTATATACATAACAGAACAAAATGGCTGATGCTGTATAGACCTTGTATGAAAAACCTGATAAGAAGCCAATGCTAGTCTAGATATAACAAACTAGGTGTCTTCCTGGCAGTAAAGGTCCAATGAACATGATGGCTGGCAATGTATGATAGCTCAATGTACTACTTTATGTATATAGAACTATATGGAAGACTGTATCTAGACTATGTATGGAGAAATGATGGCTGACCATGCCAATCTAGTGATTACAAAACTGATGGCCGACTTGCCTAGTCTAAGTGTGGGGACCAGACAACCGATGAAGAATGGGAGGAAATGTAAACTCACTGGACAGGAACTCCAGCATGGGGATTGCCATGGTGACAGTGGAGGAGATGTGCGTCAGCTTCACGATGAGCACCGGAAGGGACTTGATCAATATCCCTGGCATCTCTACCATGCACATGGACAAAGCGACCACACACTGCTTGGCACAGCGATAAATTAGGCCGGTCTCCAGGTAGCGGACCATTTCTTTCTACCAGTAGAAGAGAAAAATAAACACAATTACCTTGACACACTTTAATTCCTATATAGTTCAATATAATTGCTTAACTTTTAACCTTTTTTATAAAATAGGATATCATTCAGAAACCTTGTCAGAAAACATATCACATTAGATGCACCCTCTGCAGCCGTTTGAGAGCTGCAGCAGTACCTAAAATATACACTGCAAATCCTTTCACCACAATTAAAATGACTTTTCTCAAATTAAAGTAAATGGGAGAATGTAGTGTTGGATAACAGCGTTCTGTATAATGGATACTATGTCAGGGGTGTGGAAATTTGGCATTTCAATGGTTTTTATTAATTTATAAACATTTCAAGAAGACATGAGTAACAAGACACACCCATGCAGGGCTATCAATTGCACATAAAAAGTAACTCTGACCTACAAAGCCATCCACAACGCCGCCCCAAACTACATAACTGACCTAATACCCAAATACTACCCTACCCGTCCTCTCTGCTCCTCACAGGACCTCCTACTCTCTAGCTCCCTGGTCTCCTCCTTCCACGCCCAATTGCAGGACTTCTCTAGGACTTCTCCCATCCTCTGGAACTCCCTACCCCAATCCATCAGACTGTCACCTACCCTCCTCACCTTCAGGCGCACCCTGAAAACCCATCTCTTCAGGGAAGCCTACCCCAACCTCACCCAACACCTGACCTCACCTAACAACTAACCTCCTCCACTCCTCCCACCACTCCATCCCCCGCAGCCATCTCCTCCTGTACCACTATCCCCTCCCTCCTAGATTGTAAGCTCGAAAGAGCAGGGCCTTCGAACCCCTCGTGTATTGTATTGTTACTGTCTTGTCTCATGTTCTGTCCCCCTTGCTACTGTACAGCGCTGAGCATACACTTTGGCGCTATATAAATACTGTATAATAATAATAATAATAATAATAATAATAAAAAAAAGAAAATCGTGCTTCAACAACAACAAAGCAAAAGGTGTGCCCATGCAGGGGCTATCAATGGCACATAGATGACAAAAACAGTGATATAACACTGACAGTAGCTCAAGGGGTGTGGACAATTTTTAAAAAACTACTTGTCCAGGGACTAAAATCGGTGCCTCCAAACTACTTGCCCCTCATGACAATCTACTTGTCCAGAAAAACAAAAAAAAATATTTTTTTTTTTTAACCACACCTTTATTTAAATCTGAAGGGATGTTAGGAATGTCTGGGTCTTTTAAAAACAAAAAGGGGCTTTACTGCGACTTAAACATTTAATATTTTTTAACATTGCGCCATCTATCTCCTCCTCCCTTCCCTGCCTGTCTCCAGTACTGCACTGAGGGACTGGCAGGGAGGAGATAGACCTTGCAGTGTAACGAGCACCAATTGGGCGCTCAACAGGAAAGGGGAGTGTCCGGCTTATCCTTTATCCTTTTCGCTGCCAGAGCCGTTTTTGCATTTTTTTGCACAAATTTAAAAAAATAATTTCAGGCTTGAGATTACACAAAACCCCAAAACGTGATATATTTTCTGAAAGCCGAGATCCTAGGGAATAAAATAGCGGTAGCAGAGGCGATCAAATAACATCGAAAGAAAGCTGAATTCGTGTGTGGGGGGAGGACGTAAATTTAATCTGGGTGTAGTGTTAGATGACCGTGCAATTGTCAGTTAAAGCAACGCAGCGCCATAACGCAAAAAATGGCCTGGTCAGGAAGGGGGGTAAATCCTCTGGAGGGCAAGTGGTTAAACAACCTCTAATTATTCATTGTGTCCACCCCCACCCCTGCCCTAAAACGCATAAAAGAACCTGCAGGAAGACAGACTGATAATGTAGTAACCTTTCCTCAACTTCTGACATCTTCCTGCTGAAAAGATCCCTGAGAATGAAGAGTAGCCCAGATCACAAGTTGCAGTGCGGAGCAAGATCGCCTTCGGTGAGATTGGGTTACTCAAAATTCCCAAAGATTTGACCTTAAGGGGAATGACATAACCCTCGCCCATGCACTACAGAAGGAAGTTGGGGAAGGGCAAGCATCCCCCCTCCCCACCCATTTTTTTTTTGGTTCAATTTCATAAAGACTTTTAGGGAGGGCCACCCTAAGTAAGCAGACCTTGCTACTGAAGTCTGCAGGATCTGCTGCAAGAAGGGACCCTGTACAGGTTTATTCAATGAAGAAAGGTAAGGATGCAGCACAACTAGAAACCACTCATCCAATCAGAACAGTTTATTATCAGAAGTCAGAGCAGCAGAAAATTGAATCTTACTGGTTGCTCTGGGTATAGTACTTTGCACTCACACACTAATTCATTGCCCTTTTTAGTGAATACTCCTGAACATTATACTGCAATTAGGCTTTTACAGTGCAGATTCTAAGCACAAAGGTTATAAATACTGTAATAATAATAAGAGATAAATAATCTCTTAGATTGTAAGCTCCCAGGATCAGGCCCTCCTATCCCTCTTGTATTGAACTGTATTGTTGCTGTATTGTCTCCCGTTATATTGTAAAGTGCTGAGCAAACTGTTGGCGCTATATAAATCCTGTATAATAATAATATATAAATCCTGTATAATAATAATAATAAAATATAATAAAATCCTGTATAATAATAATAATAATAATATATATAAATCCTGTATAATAATAATAATAATAATATATAAAATCCTGTATAATAATAATAATATATATAATCCTGTATAATAATAATAATATATAAATCCTGTATAATAATAATATATAAATCCTGTATAATAATAATCAGTACATTATAATTACAATCCTATATACTTAAGCTTGTTCAGAGTTACTGTTCGAAAAGCATTTTTCCACTCTTAGGCCTTTAGAAAAAGCACCAGAAACAAATACCTGTTTGCTGATATCAAGATATTGATGGTATGAGGTCAATGCAGTCAGTACAGGAACCACAGCCAGCTGCAGCTCAGTACGAGAGAAACCATCTGGGGTATTAAACAGGCGATCGCTGGCACCTCGGTCTGAAAGCTGAAACATACAACACATGTGATGACAATAACTGAACAAGGCATAGAGCAGCAAGACAATCCCCTCCTTACAGAACTGCAGCCACTGTCTCTTGGGTCAGCTACAAGTACAGAAGAGAGATCCAATTGGCACAGATCCATGTGACTGTTACATTCGCCTTAACCACTTGCCCTCCTGAGGATTTACCCCCCCCCCCCTCCTGACCAGGCCATTTTTTGCGTTACAGCGCTGCATTACTTTAACTGACAATTGCGCGGTCATGCAACGCTGCACTCAAATGAAATTTATGTCCTCCCCCTTCCCGAATAGAGATGTCTTTCGGGTGGTATTTGATCACCTGTGCGGTTTATTTTTTTGCGCAAAAAAAAAAAAAAAAAAAATCGACAATTTTGAGAAAAAAAACAATATTTTGACTTTTTGCTGTTAAAAAAACATGTCCAGTAACAAAATAACAAAAAATAAATACATTTCGGCAAAAATTTAGGCCAAAATGTATTCTGCAACATGTCTTTGCTAAACAAAATCCCAATAAGTGTAAATAAATTAGTCTATGTGAAAGTTATAGCGTTTACAAATGGTGGTATATATGTGTACACACACACACTTTTTTTTTTAATCTTTTATTTTATTTTTACTAGCAATGGCGGTGATCAGCGACTTATAGCGGGACTGCGGCGGCATTCTAACACTGGGGGGAACGGACTTGGTGTCACTGACATCCCCAGTGACACCAATACAGTGATCAGTGCTAATAAAAACACTGATACTGTACTAATGGCACTGGGCAGGAAGGGGTTAACATGTGGGGCAATCAAAGGGTTAACAGTGTGCTATTTTACTAGGGGCGGGGTCTCTGTGCGTCACTGTAAGCACACTCTTTGTATGGCTGTGCACAACCGGGGAGAGCAGTGTGCAGGAGCTGACCGGGGAGAGCAGTGTGCAGGAGCTGACCGGGGAGAGCAGTGTGCAGGAGCTGACCGCGGAGAGCAGTGTGCAGGAGCTGACCGCGGCAGTGCGCAGAGCAGTGTGCAGGGAGCTGACCGGCGAGACCCGCGGAGAGCAGTGTGCAGGAGCTGACCGGCGAGAGCAGTGCAGTGACCGGCAGGAGCTGACCGCGGAGAGCGCAGGAGTGACAGGAGCTGAGCTGACCGGCGAGAGCAGTGCGCAGGAGCTGACTGAGCAGTGCCAGGAGCGGAGAGCAGTGTGCAGGAGCTGACCGGGATGAGAGAGCAGGGTTTTGTTTTTGGGTCCGCACTAGAATCGGATCGCATGGTTATGCACATCTATGTGATTCAATTCTGCACATCGCACAGCATTTTGCAGATCGATTTCGGGGTGTTGTTCACTTAACATACACACTTGCATCGGTTTGCATGAATGGGGTGAGATTCTGTTGCGGTGCGGAATTCACACAGAAAATGCTGCAAATTCCGCACCGCATCAGTGTGAACCCGGGCTTAAAAAGTCTTGTACAATTTCTGAGCATTGCATTCCGGTTCAGCTGTGGATTACAGGCTATTGGCGTCTATGGGAATGGTTTCTAAATCACATGTGTAAACAAGATGCGATCCTGAGCTAATCCTGTCCTGAACCTGACGTGAAAAACTACTGTATCAATTAGCTGTGAAACCTGAGCTTCAGTCCGCACCGCACGTGTGTATCAACTCTTCAAAGCTAGGTATAAATTGGGGTGGTTGCCATTTGTGTTTAGCTTCCATTTTAAGAGCACCTGTCATAACAGACTACAGCAAAACAAAGCAGCCAGTTCAAGGTGCTCGCACACCAATGTACTGTATGTTCAAACACTTTCTTGTAATGTTGAGTTTGCCTGCCCCTTCCTGCACTTACCTTCTGGTTCCTTACTGGCCAATATGTCAATAGGTAGGTCAGTTCTCCATGCTACACATTTACATATATACAAGCAGCACAGATTTGGTGGGGTCCTGGAGCAGGCATCTACAAGATATTGCTATACCAAGGAGTAGGAGGAGTTTTCTTTCTGCTCTAGGATGTGAAACCTCTGACCCTCTGTCTGGACAGTGCTGATTGGTCCTGTGCTGATCACATGCACCCTCCCAAGAAAAAAAAAAAAAAAAAAAAACCTCTCTAGCAATACACACCAAACTGAGCATGTGACCCGGGTTCAGTCTGTATCAGGTGTTAGGGGACATTTAAAACTCTGAAGTTTGACTACTCACCATGGTGCAGAGAGATGCAGAAAGCTGGTCGATGTTACATGGAGAGGACAGAATGAGGAATTTATAGCGAAGACACTCAGGCAGTTTATTGAGAACCAATTTGAGGACTTTCCAGTCGGTCTCCTAGAAGAGAGAGCTCATTCATAATCCAAAAACAAAAGTTACCAAGAAGAGACCCAAATACAGAAGGAACAGACCTGTCTTTGAACAGATCTGCATTGGAGAATGTTATACTGAACCTGCTTCAAGCATTGCAGAATGACCCAAAAGGCAGAGAGAAAGGCAGGCAGCCCAATCGAGGACAACCACCCTGGGAAGAGAGGCTGGGGCTTCCAGAGGGGGGAGACAGTGTGCCGGCGGGCTTCCTTTCTGGGGGCCTCTTCTCAGGCTCACTCCTAACAGATATCAGAGCAGTTAAAAAGGATATTTCAGCTCACACCTCAGTGCATATCATTCACTAAATTAAACTAGAAAGAAGATGAGATAAATGATCTTGCCTGGTTTTGTTTTTTTTCTTACCATCATCCCTGAAGCAGCTAGCTTCAACCCCTTAAAATGATGCTAAACCCCCGGACCCCGCACTCACTACGTCCGGTCTGCCCGGACCCCGCACTCACTATATCCGGTCTGCCCGGACCCCGCATTCACTATATCCGGTCTGCCAGGACCCCGCATTCACTATATCCGGTCTGCCAGGACCCCGCATTCACTATATCGTCTGCCAGGACCCCGCATTCACTATATCCGGTCTGCCCGGACCCCGCATTCACTATATCCGCTCTCCCCGGACCCCGCATTCACTATATCCGCTCTCCCCGGACCCCGCATTCACCCGCTCTCCCCGGACCCCGCATTCACTATATCCGCTCTCCCCGGTTCTGCCCCCCGGACCCCGCATTCACTATATCCGCTCTCCCGGACCCCGCATTCACTATATCCGGTCTCCCCGGACCCCGCATTCACTATATCCGGTCTCCCCGGACCCCGCATTCACTATATCCGGTCTCCCCGGACCCCGCATTCACTATATCCGGTCTCCCCGGACCCCGCATTCACTATATCCGGTCTCCCCGGACCCCGCATTCACTATATCCGGTCTGCCGGGACCCCGCATTCACTATATCCGGTCTGCCCGGACCCTGCATTCACTATATCCGGTCTCCCCGGACCCTGCATTCACTATATCCGGTCTCCCCGGACTCTGCATTCACTATCGCGGTCTCCCCGGACCCTGCATTCACTATATCCGGTCTCCCCGGACCCTGCATTCACTATATCCGGTCTCTCCCGGACCCTGCATTCACTATATCCGGTCTGCCCGGACCCTGCATTCACTATATCCGGTCTGCCAGGACCCTGCATTCACTATATCCGGTCTGCCAGGACCCTGCATTCACTATATCCGGTCTGCCAGGACCCTGCATTCACTATAGGTCTGCCAGGACCCTGCATTCACTATATCCGGTCTGCCAGGACCCTGCATTCACTATATCCGGTCTGCCAGGACCCTGCATTTCACCCTACTATATCCGGTCTGCCAGGACCCTGCATTCACTATATCTGGTCTGCCAGGACCCTGCATTCACTATATCTGGTCTGCCAGGACCCTGCATTCACTATATCTGGTCTCACACAGTACACAGAACATGGAAAAGCAATTCTTTTAGTAAATATAAACTGCTCAATACCTTTTCTAAGCAGATAAAGCAGTCTTGTGACTTCAGCAGAGCACTTGTTAAAGCTCTTGTAGGAGTTTTCTGTCTGCTCTAGGAGGATGTGAAACCTCTGACCCTCTGTCTGGACAGTACCGATTGGCCCTGTGCACCCAAACTGAGCATGTGACATGGGTTCAGTCTGTATCAGGTGGTCATTTCAACAAGAAGACTGACCTTCAGTCTGGACAGCACTGATTGGCCCTGTGCTGATCACATGTACCCTCCCTCCAAAAAAAAAACCCCTAGCCATACACACTAAACTGAGCATGTGCAGAGTGCCTCCTAGAGCTCTGTACTATCAGCAGATGGATTGGGGACAGTAGAGGAAGGGGAGGATAGAGAAGAAGCAAATAGCCTTTTTTACACAATTAACTGCACAGTAGTATAACAGACATGCTTTACTGTATACAGACTGTTGTACTGTTGTTTTAGTAACACTTTAAGCCCCGTACACATGATGAGAATATTGGATGAATTATCATTTTTTTTTTGCATGCTAGTCTCATATCGATAAATAAAGATTACTAAAATGACGTAAATTCTCACAGGACAGAATAAACACTCAGCAGTGATGTCATGTATTGTAGGGCGACACTTACACAGACTCACACAGGCAGTACGGGCTGAACCTCACAGCTCCATCTTTGTTGGGGAGACCAAGGCGCTTCAGAGAGTCCGTCCGCAGGAGCAAGAAGAAGTCAAACACCTTTTGTTTTGGGAAGAAAACAAAAAGACAAATACAGTAGAAAAAAAAACCCCAAAACTACAGAATTTTTCCAGGGGGGGTGGGGGGATATTGAGTAATACAAAGTAATAAAGACTGAGCTCATACTATTCCCTCCAGCCCGTGCCCCCTCCCCTGACATCTCCATCAAGGTCACCAACACAACCATCAGTCCCTCCCCTCATGCCAGGGTACTAGGTGTTATCCTAGACTCCCATCTGTCCTTTCAGCCCCAAATCCAATCGCTGTCCAAATCATGTAGACTTCACCTCCGCAACATCTCCAAGATACACCCGTTCCTAACCTCGGAAACCACTAAGCAACTTCTTCCCTCCCTGGTTATATCACGTCTTGACTATTGTAACACTTGTCTCCAAATATCACCCAAACCATCCTCTCCGCTCCTCCCATGACCTCCTGCTCTCTAGCTCACTTGTCTCCTCCTCCCATGCTCGCCTCCAGGACTTCTCCAGAGCTTGTCCCATCCTCTGGAACTCTCTACCCCAATTAATCAGACTATCGCCTACTCTGCCCACTTTTAGGCGATCTCTGAAAACCTCTCTTCAGGGAAGCCTATCCTGCCTTCAGCTAATAACGGAATCTTCTATTCCTCCTACCAGTCCATCCCCCACAGTTACTACCTTTTGTACCACTAGCCCCTCCCTCTTAGATTGTAAGCTCCAAGGATCAGGGCCCTCCTATCCCTCTTGTATTGAACTGTATTGTTGCTGTATTGTCTCCCGTTATATTGTAAAGCGCTGAGCAAACTGTTGGCGATATATAAATCCTGTATAATAATAATAAAGGTTTGTTGTGATCTTAAAAAAACCTATACACATGCAAAAGGGATAGTGCAGTCCACCAAGGCAAATTGCCTATATAAGTACAAAAGGGAGGCACAGTGGCTAAGTGGTTAGCACTTCTGCCTGGCAGTACTAGGGTTGCCGGTTCAAATCCAAAACACGGCACCACCTGCCTGGAGTTTGCATGTTCTCCCTGTGCCTGCGTGGGTTTCCTCCGGGTACTCCGGTTTCCTCCCACACTCCAAAGACATGCTGGTAATTGGATCCTGTCTAAATTGTCCCTAGTATGTGTATGTATGGATGTGAGTTAGGGACCTTAGATTGTACACCCCTTGAGGGTTAGGGACTGATGTGAATGTACAATATGTATGTAAAGTGCTGTGTAAATTGATGGCGATATATAAGTACCTGAAATAAATAATAATAAAATAAAAGGCAACAGAAGTCCCATTTATGGTTAATACACAGAAGTGCAAAATGGAGTCCAACTTACTTAGGACCAAAAGAGGGAGATTTACAAGATCTGGTGCAGCTTTGCATGAACCCAATCACGTTCCAGTTTCTTTTTTTTTGGCAAAAGCATAACTGACCAAGCTAGAAGCTGATTGGCTACTGTGCACAGTTGCACCAAATTCTGAGTGCTGCAGTTTTAGCAACCCCCCCCCCCCCCATAGTCAAGTAAGCATAAGTGCAATCATATATTATTGTTATACAGGATTTGTATAGGACCGACAGTTTACAAAATGGAAGGAGACTTGATAAAGCGCATGCGTGCGAAACTTGTCCCAGCAACCGGCCTCTTCCTTCTAAAGCTGCAGCTCCAGCGAGAGTTCCCCCCCTCCGTCTCTGCCCCACATCGTGGTGACGTCACCGGGACGCTGGGACGTCGGATACATGTGGTCCCTGCACTGACAGGCTTTCTATTCTCTACTGCTTCCCACTGAGCGGAGGGGCCGTCCATCTTGGAACCTGGCATCTTAAAGCCACAGGCCGGGTATCTATTTTTTACCATATGAATTATTAAAGGCACACCTCCATATAAAGGTGTATTACTTTTATCACAAAACTACACAGCGCCTGGCTCCTGTTCATAATCAACCCACAATTTTGTAGAGCAAGGGCCAAAACAAAATGTCCATTAAAATAATATCCAATAAAATTACCCTGCACGTAATTGATGGTATAGCTAAAGGAGTAGCCTTCCAATGTCTAATGTAAATACAGGAGGAGCTCTGAGAGGCAGTGCTGCAAACTTTGAGAATAAATTGCACCACAGTGGCTGCAGCTACAGATGTCATTATGACCTGGTTTTTAAACTCATGCGCAGCTTGTCAATAAAATGTATATTCTTGTACACGTATAGTCTGGTTAGTAATTTCCTTGTGAAATTCTATATGGCCTGCACAGTGCTCAGTAAGACATGGACTGACCTGTAACCTGATGCTGTTGGCGATGGGAGAGCTGTACAGGTTAATGTAGTGAAGCTGCATGTGGTTGACCAGCATTTCATATACACGGATGGCATGACTTGCAGGCAGGATGTATAGCTTGGTCTGCACATAAAAGAGAAGTTCACATCACTACCTTAGGATGACTATTGCCTTAACACACATCAGGAGAGAAATTGCCGCTTCTTACCTGAAGGATGACCATTAGGCCCAATACAGAGGTTTTTACATCTTCCAAAGATGATGCATCCTGTCCAGAGTCAGCAGGAAGGGTCAGGGATCGTGTCACAATCTAAAAAGAAGAAAAGATGTCATTTACAGACACGAAAACCTAAAGAGGCAAAAAGGAAGGGTGCCTGACTTTACTAATCACTATTCGAGAGATACAAAGGATTCCTTTGTACCCCTTGTAACGGAACCGACCCAGACTGTACTTGGGTACTGCCGTTAGAATATCGCTTCCCCGTCTGAACACCGACCACAGACACCACAGCTGACCATACAATACTAGACGACAACCGTCTTGAAGTAAACCAGAGTGGACTAGTTTATTTTAACACAGATACAAGATATATACACTCAGGGGGACAATACCCCCTCCCTGCATAATGACACAGGGCAGGGCAATCTACATTAAGTAACAAGAGACACCAGACAGTCCTATCAGGAGGGAGGCGGCTGCTGGAGACCCCCCCCCCCCCCCACCAAGCCAAAACCCATAAACACATACATCCCATAACAGTTTGCTCCCAAGCAAGACACACAATAGAACAACGAGATGCAACCACATGGCATTAAACAATCAACAACCCCCCCCCCCCCCCAATATTAGGACAGATCACCCTGTACCCCTAACAGGCACAGGGTGACCTACACATAAGAGGAATTGGGGAACTGATACAGGGGTCTCCCCACCTCTCCAAAGTGAGCTGTGTTCCATAGGCCCCCCACCCAAAGTGACTCCCGTCACACCCCTGTCATCTTGTTCATCCAGAACTGTTGGCTTACAGCACAGACACAGCCTAAAAATAGATAATTATATTGTTTTCTTATAGCCGTTTACAGCTTGTTGGCTTTCATCAGAGTAAGTTTTCGATCCCTTGGCTTCTGAGCATGGTTTGTAGGACAATGTACAGAAAAAAAAAAAAAAATCAGGTCATCCTGGACCCACACCAGCCTGTGACTGGGACCATGAAAGGAGAGGCAATGCAGTAATGAGCTCATCTCTCGGTCACCCTGCCTTCTCTGCTATTAAAAGAACCATTTGGCTCCTTTTACTGCTTCTTTTCTCATTTCAGGCTTGTCAAGCAAGATGCCGATAGGTCAAATTCAGACACTTACATTTCTTGCATTAAAAGAATGAAAGTAATTATGCATTAGCCACTTGCTGACAGCACTACAGCCGATAGACAGCTACAGTGCGTTCGTCCAGTTGTGGGAGGATGTTCATGGATGTCCTTCCAGAACCGCGCCTCTTGAGCATCGGGCATGCTCTGAATACTTTGGACACAGCTGATCACACATCGGGGTAAAGGGCTAATCACAGCGACCCTTTACCATGTGATCAGCTGTGCCCATTCACAGCTGATCACACGAAAACAGACTTGTATCAGCAGTCCTGTGCTCACACGTATGTGAAAAAAAGGACAGCCTAGAACCGGCAAGGCTATCAGTACATAGTTAACACTGAATCAGTGCCATCCCATCAGTACAGCCTATCAATGCCCATCAGTGCAGCCTAATCAGCGCACATCAGTGAAAAAGAAAAAAATTACGTATTTGCTAAATTTTATAGCAGAAACTAAGACAGACTTTTATTTTTTTTTTTCAAATCTGTCTTTTTCATTTGTTTAGCAAACAATAAAAAAACAAGTGATCAAATACCAACTAGAAAGCTCTGTCGCAAAAAAAATGATAAAAATGTCAGAGGTACAATGTTGCATGACTGAGTACTTGTCATTCAAAGTAAGACAGCACTGCTAGCTGAAAATTGGCCTGAGTAGGAAGGGGTGAAAGTGCCTGGTATTGAAGTGGTTAAGGATTACAGAGCTGCATTCAATTGTGTCTTTTATAACTGCCTGGGATCCTGCTTTACGTTTTACAGTAGTGGCGTTAAAGTGTAAGTTCCTCCGTGTGTTCTGGAAAATATAAATACAGAAAGCGCATAAAATAAATGACATGACTTTAGAGAAGGCAAAGCCTTACCCTCTCAATGATATCCATTAAACTGTTAAAATGGCAAGAGTGGCAGCATTCTGCCAAGTCAACCAAGAGTTGCGTGGCCAGTTTTCGGACTTGGTGATCTTTATCCTCTGGGATTTGTGCCAGCTGGCAGGTCACCACCTTTTCTATTAGTTCCTCCTGAAAACAAATCACAAGAACAATTCAAGGAGATGCCATGGATACACACAAGCATACAAAATCTTTGCTTTAACTTATAATACAAGACAAAGGATTCTCAGAGCACTACTGGTTATCTAAATTGGCAGAGCACAGCAATAATCTCCTTTCACGTACTCCATTTCGAACTGAACCTCATTTGGAGGTTTCCAAAAGCTGGGGGAGGAACAGGAATGCTGTATACCTGCTGGGACTCAGTCCCTTGCAGGTATACAATTTCAGCTTTAGCTATTGAGCTCTGTAGGCTTCTCTCAGCAGGTAATATGGAGAAAATGGGAGGGTCATTTTGACCTAAACAGGCAAAGACTGTCTACTAAAAATACATACATCGTGTAGACTAAGTCTAAACGGTCAGCAATACAGAAAGGAGTGAAACACACAATTATAATGGGTGAGCACAAAAACACTTCTTGATTTCAAGTAGTTACTTATTGGAGTAGGTTTACAAATATGGCGACCGCGGATAAATTAAACAATTTCTCAAAGCATGGCAAGCAAGATCTTGCTTGCCGTTTCACCCGTACAAGCTGCAATTGGTCCACGAGTTACACCTGGAAGACAATGAAATGTGGTATGGATTTTGCAGGAATCTCCAGACATTAAATAGAAAGGATGAGGCGACCATCCACTTAAGTGGAAGGGTCAACCGGCACAATGTAAGGATACGGGGGAATGAGAATTCGCATGCCGCCCTGGAGGTTTGTGCTGTATCAGAGCAGACTGTGTACGGCCTGTTTATCTTTGAGGGACCAACCGTTACTGGCCAACTGTAGCCACCAATGTGCAAGAATATCCCAAAAAAGTTACATTCTAAACCTGCTGGAAATCAATGACTGTTCTTGTGCTCACCTTATAAATATATGGAAAAAAAAAAAAAAAAAAAAAAAAAAGTACACCAATAGCCCTTTAACACACGCGTTTGGCTTACTAAGGACTTCCCACTAAAAAAGATAATGGATGAACATCTGGATTCCCAGAAGTTTTATCATACAAAGTCTTCCAAAACAAACCTCATAAAACTGTCTGTTGATGCTCAACGCAAAGGATAGGACATCCAAGACTTTCATTCGTACAATACATCGAGCTTCATTCCTGAAAGTGAAAGGACACATCTTTCGTACTAATAAACAGGAACAAGTAGGTAGACTGCACATGCATTGTATGCAAACAAGGCGGCTTAAGGTCTGCCTTTAAAGAATGGAAGCCACTTGGAAAAACGAACACCGGGCCACCATATAAGGCCTGATATTTGCAGCTGAAATCTCTACATTCAATGGACACACAGAGTGGCTTGGGAGCAAGTATGCACAAGTGCTCCTTTAGCAAGTGACTTGCTGTGGGATGCTCTCCGGGGCGGGGGGCTTATGAAGAGGCATAGGCAAGAACGACGTTTGCTATTTAATAAAAATATTAAATATTAAAAATGATGGTTTTACAATCACTTTGTCACTGGGTAGCTGCAGACTAAAAGTGCAGTCAGCTTAGCAGTGATGTAGTCATATTTACTCTACCTATCATATTGGACAATTGATAGGTCAAAAGTTACTAAGAAATTGTTCTGACCTGAAATACTTATCCATCAGCCTCTGCAGATCCTGTATCCACCCCTCCTTTCCCGGGTGGATGGACTGAGCTCTGTAGGTTATCAGGTTCACCACTGAGGCTGCCTAGAAAGACAAGAAAACCATAAAAGATCAATGACACATAGTAAGGTAAGAGATGTGTTTATACTTAGTCCTGTATTAGTTCCCATTCATCAACACAGTTGAGTACTGTCTGGTACTCAACCTTCTGGATGTTTATAATTCCCTTCCCCTCCAGAGGATTTACCAGGCCATTTTTACGATACGGCTAATAAAAACACTGACACTGTACTAAATGACATGGCACTGGGCAGGAAGGTGTTAACGTGGGGCGATCAAAGGGTTAACTGTGTGCTGTTTCACAGTAAGCAGTGTGTGCTTTCAACTGTACAACTGCTTTGTATGGCTCTGCTATGCAGAGCCGTACATAGTGTGCAGGAGCTGACAGGGGAGAGAACTGTATTGTTTACATACAGTTCTCTCCACCGTTGATAATGCTAGGCGATCACTGGGTGCCAGCGAGTAATCACCGGCCGGGACCCGGTGATTGACAGCCGAGGCTACGAATTGTGGCAAGGGTAAGCCTACCCAGAACTGCAAAATCCTAATACATATACACACATATATACATATACACACATACAGTTGCAAGAAAAAGTATGTGAACCCCTTGGGATTACGTGGAGTTTTGTATGAATTGGGCATAAAATGTGCTCTGAACGTCATCTAAGTCACAACAATAGAAGAACACAGTCTGCTGAACATAATACTACACAAACATTAGATGTTGCCATGGTTTAATTGCACATAACATGTAAACATTCACAGTGCAGGAAGGAAAAAAGTATGTGAGGCCCTAGCTTAATGACTTCTCCCAGAGCTAATTGGAGCCAGGAGTGAGCCAACCTTGACTCCAATCAGTGTGATATTGGATGTGTTGCTGACAGCTGTCCGGCCCTTAAAAAACACACACCTGTTTTGGGTTTACTGGTTTCAAGAAGCACGTTAACCATGCCTCGCAGAAAAGAGCTCTCAGAAGACCTACGATAAAGAATTGTTGACTTGCATGAAGCTGGAAAGCGTTACAAAAGTATCTCCAAAAGCCTTGATGTTCATGTGTCCACGGTAAGACAGACTGTCTACAAATGGAGAAAGTTTAGCACTGTTGCTACTCTCCCTAGACGTGGTCGTCCTGTAAAAATGACTGCAAGAGCACAGCGCAGAATGCTGCATGAGGTAAAGAAGAATCCCAGAGTGTCAGCTAAAGACCTACAGAAATCTCTGGCACATGCTAACATTTTTGTTGACACATCTACAATAAGGAAAACATTAAACAAGAATGGAGTACATGGGAGGACACCACGGAGGAAGCCATTGCTGTTCAAAAAGAATATTGCAGCACGTTTGAAGTTTGCAAAAGAGCACCTGGATGTTCCACAGCACTACTGGCAAAATATACTGTGGACAGATGAAACCAAGATTGAGTTGTTTGGGAAGAACACACAACACTATGTGTGGAGAAAAAAAGGCACAGCACACCAACATCAAAACCTCATCCCCACTGTAAAACATGGCGGAGGGAGCATCATGGTTTGGGGCTGCTTTGCTGCCTCAGGGCCTGGACGGATTGTTGTCATTGATGGGAAAATGAATTCCAGAGTTTATCAAGACATTTTGCAGGAAAACGTACGACCATCTGTCCGCCAACTGAAGCTCCACAGAGGATGGGTGATGCAACAGGACAATGACCCAAAGCATACAAGTAATTCAACAAAACAATGGCTGCAACAGCACAGAATACGCCTTCTGGAGTGGCCCAGTCAGAGTCCTGACCTCAACCTGATTGAAATGCTGTGGCATGACCTTAAGAGAGCGATTCACACCAGACATCCCACGAATATTGCTACACTGAAACAGTTTTGTGAAGAGGAGTGGTCCAAAATGACTCCAGATCGTTGTGCAGGTCTGATCTGCAACTACAGGAAACGTTTGGTTGAGGTTATTGCTGCCAAAAGGAGGGTCAACCAGTTATTAAGTCCAAAGGTTCACATACTTTTTCCTCCCTGCACTGTGAATGTTTACATGTTATGTGCAATTAAACCATGGCAACAGGTGTTTGTGTAGTATTATGTTCAGCAGACTGTGTTCTTCTATTGTTGTGACTTAGATGACGTTCAGAGCACATTTTATGCCCAATTCATGCAAAACTCCACGTAATCCCAAGGGGTTCACATACTTTTTCTTGCAACTGTATATACATATATATACACACATATATACACACACACACACACACACACACACACACACACACACACACACACACACACACACATATATATACACACACACACACACACGATTTTGCACACCCGTTCCGCCTTGTAGCAGTATTTCTGCTATAGGGCGGACGGGAAGTGGTTAAGGTCTTGTCTGTGTGTGCGCTTTGCAGCTATAGGACCCACAACTATTTATGTCACTATGCTGACATACAGAAACAGTACACAGTTGGTTAATACCTTCTTTTCATCCTCTTACTGAGAAGTGAGGTGGATGGGTCACATTGCATGGCGGTTTTCCAACAAGCTGGGAATCTCTCTATGCTATAGCAAGAGTTTCTGACGTCCATCCTAGGGTAGCTAATATGTACCTGATCCTCATTAGGTCAGTTTATTGCTGGGAGGATTTTGCAACTTATGACCAAGCTGGCCATCTACAGCATAATGTTTTGGGTTGCATTCCCTGAATAAACACTAAAATCATTAGGAAGACTATGAACAATGTGAAACTTACAGGCCGATCATCTGAGTGTCTCTCCACCAGTTCAAAAAATCTCTCCTCATCCCCATGGAATTCATTCTGGTCATAGAGCTCCTCCACTGCAGTCAGCAAATTGTGGATGGCAGCCTTCAACTCCAGACTGCGGAGAACCTGAAAACCAACAAAAGACAGCATTGTGAATTTAAGGAAGCCCATAGAAATAAGAGAAGTATCTGTAAATTCAAACATGAATAAATTGTTTGAGGGCTGGTTCACACCAGCTGCAGTCCAGTGCAATTTTTTTTATGCATCAAAAACGCATGGACAGTAGGTTATATGGGTTACAATGGCATAGTTCGGACCAGTTAAGTGCGTTACAGTGCAGTAAAAAAATTAGAATATGCTGCATTTTTTCTGTACTGACGTGTACTGCAAAGTAGCAAAATGCATTAAAAAAAAAAAAACGCACTACAGGAAACCTTGGGAAAAAAAAAAAAAAAAAAAAACACACTGGAACGCATTGAAAATGCATAAAAAAAAAAAAACACAATTAAAAACCCATCCAGAGGGCATTTACACACACACGAAAAAAAAAAAAAAGAGAAAGGGAACAACATAAAAATGACTAGAAAAACAAAAAGCAAATACAGATGGCTAAGGAAAGAGTTCATTAGGGACTGTTTAGGGTTTACAAGTGTACGGCCCCTTATAATCAAGCAGCCTGCTCACTATCTGCTCCTAAAACTTCAATGCTCACTACAACAGACCAGAAAATCTGCATATTTATTAGCGAACGACCTTGGCCAAGTTCGTTCCTGTGGATCCTGACTGTAGGCCAGACAGTTATCTTATGTATGTCAAGACAAAATAGTGATGCACCGATACCCCCCCTTTTTTTCTCTATCAGTGAGTACAAGTAACGATACTTTTGGTCAAGTACTCGCCTATACAGATTACTGATACTTTGCGGTGCGATTTGCATCAATATAAAATGTATGGACGCAAAGAATAGCATGCAATTTGAACAGGAATGCGATACCTGCCCAAAGGGCATGCGGTTTTCCCACTGCTCCTGTGTGAACCCATGCTGCCATAGCCAGAGTTCACACAGGAGTGGTGTAGGGAGGTTTTCCACAGTGGGGAGTGGATGTATACTATGGAAGCAGATGCTCCATATTCTCAGCAGGAGAGGAGAGAAAGCGGTGAGAATTTGAAATCCCCGCTGCTTTCTCTAATCTCCTCACAGGGATGACAGTTCAGGCTAGAGGGCTTGTGAGTGGTCAGCACAATCACATGGACAGTGCTCACCAATCAGATGCCGATTAGCACGTCTGTCATCCCAGCAAGGAGGGGAGAGAAAGCCACTTCACAGCTCTGGGGATTAGAAATCCCTGTGACTTTTGTCACATGGACAGCGCTGATCTTAAGCTTTCTGGCCTGAACTGTCATCCCCTCCACTTTCTCTCCTCTCCCAATGCTGAGAATATGGAGCATCTGCTTCCATAGTAGACATCCCCAAAAGAGGGAAGGTTTTCTGTAGTCAAAGAGAAGAACTGCCAGGGCTAATTAGACTGCTTGATAGAAGATTGCAGAATGCACAGGACAGCTCTGAATTTTTGTGAAAACCAGCAGGTATTTATTTGCAGTTAAAAAATTAAAATGCTTTTCAATCATATGTTTCCTATACTAAAAGGGTGCATATATGAAAAGCTCACTGTTAGGGTTGCATACACTTTAAAGTGGTTGTAAAGGCTGAAGGTTTTTTTTTTTTTTTTTTTTTTTTTTACTTCGTGCATTCAATGCACAAAAGGTAAAAAACTTCTGCGTGCAGCTTTCGCCTCCCAGCACCTCTAAAGACTTACTGGAGCCCCCTTTCGATCCAGAAATGTGCATGAGCACCCTGGCACTCCTGGGTCAATCCCTCCCCACTGGCTGAGACACACAGTGGCTCCCACAACTGCAATCACAGCCAGTGAGCCAATGAGGAGAGAGTGGGGCCAAGCCACGCTCCATGTGTGAATGGACAAATGGAACAGCGGCATGGGAGCAGGCCTGCTCGGTTGCCCCCTCAGCAAGCTGTGTGCTATGGAGGCACTAGGCAGGAGGGAGGAGCCAGGAGCGCAGGCGGGTGACTGGAGAAGAAGAGAATCAGGGCTGCTCTGTGCAAACCCACTGCACAGAGCAGGTAGGTATGACATGTTTGTTATTCTTAAACAAGCTTAAAATCTGACCTTACTAAAACAAGTATTTGGGTGACAAACAACTACAGAACCAAAATATCAGCTTGGGGAGGACTAAATCTTTAAAGAGGACCTCTACTGTGAAAGCTGTGCCCCCCCCACCAAATCATATATTAATTTCTAAATGAAGGTGTATGCTGTGACTTTAGATGTCCTTCAATATTTAAGTTTTTCCTATAACATTGGAAACATATGCTGAGTTCAGTTTTACTTTTAGTCAAAAGTTGCAACATAGGCCAAGCTGACCGTCTATATAAAAGGTGACCATAGAAAGGGATAAAATCCCATTAGGAATTCGGAAAATACAGGACAAGTTCTTCCCTTTGGCAATCGAGTACCTGTAGCTGCTGGAACAACCTTTCGATGACAGCCAGGAGCACATCCCACGTTGCCGCCTGCAGTTCTCGCCCATATTTCTTTATGAGTCTTGTGATGGACAGGACAATCTCATAAGAAACCACAGCATTTGGGCAATTCATAGCCTGACCAGAAAAATGAAAAGATATATGTCAAAGAGAAGTTCTATAGTCCGGCATTAAGGAAAGAGTCATGCAATGGAAAATATTTGGCTCAACCTCAAACAAACCTTTTGTTTCTAGTTTAGGATAGAGAGAAGTAATATTTATTCTACTGCCAGGTCTTTTAAATACAATATTTAATTTATTTCAGGTACTTATATGGTGCTGTCAATTTACGCAGCGCTTTACATATATATTGTACATTCACATCAGTCCCTAACCCTCAAGGTGTGTACAATCTAAGGTCCCTAACTTACATTCATACATACACATACTAGGGACAATTTAGACAGGAGCCAATTCACCTACCAGCATGTCTTTGGAGTGTGGGAGGAAACCCACAGAGGCACAGGGAGAACATGCAAACTCCAGGCAGGTGGTGCCGCAGCTGGGATTCGAACCAAGGACCCTAGTGCTGCCAGGCGGAAGTGCTAACCACTAAGCCACTGTGCCACCCAGTGGCTTAGTGGTTATATAAGCCCGGGTTCACACTGATGCGGTGCAGAATAAGTGTAAACCATTTTATTGGCAGGTCCAGAATGGAGCCTTAAACCATACTTAAAAATTATATACTTTATTAAGCCATTATGATTTAGCAACCAGCCTATCCTGAAAATAAAATGATCTGGTGGGTTGTTACAGCTCAACACACATCGATAAGTTTGAGTCTCTTGAACCATATCCTACCTTTAGAAATGACGGGAGCACAGATATTGGAGAATTCTTCAAACAGAAGAGCCTGTGTGCTCCCCAGAGCCCCATCCCAACAAAGAAGACCGCTCCTCTCAACAACGGGGCGTCTTCCCAATACACCCTGGAACAGAAGAGACCACAGATGAGGAGTCAATCAGCTGCATGCTTGGGTGTTGGATAAGCAAAGGGAGTGCACGAGACAGACACCTTCCTTGAATTTAGAGGGTACAAACACAATCTTGTTTCTGAAGCTTAGTGCCAGAAATCTATGGAGCTTCACGACTCAGTGAATCATAGTAAAGCTTCCTTTTCAAGAAGCCCCTACAATTACTATTAAGAGATTAGCCACATAGGGAGTGCATGGGTTACATGGCTTGGTCAACTGAAACTTGTGAACAGTAAAGCACAACCATTAAGCAGCACCACAAAAAAGGAACAGAGCACGTGTGTAAGGACAACATGGCTGCTCCTTAAACACGAGAATTACAAATTACTTGCAGAAAAAAAAAAAAAAAAAAAAAAAAAAACATTTAAAGCGGAGTTCCACCCAAAAGTGGAAGCTCCACTACTCTACCTTGTGCCCACCTCCGCTGCCACATTTGGCACCTTTTGGGAGGGAGAGAGGAACGGGTACCTGGTCTTGACAGGTACTTGCTCCCACTTCCAGCTCAATGCACCGAGGCCAACCAAACCCCCCCCCCCCCCCCAGCCCTCTGGGACACTTCCAAAGGTCCCAGAGGAATGTGACCCATTCACAAAGCGCAGCACACACTGCGCATGCGCAGTAGGAGATCGGCTTCACTGCTGGTTTCCCTTAGTCATGATGGCGGCGCCAGCACTTGACAGCCGAATGAAGAATCGGCTCGGGATGACGACACCACTGGATGCATGGACAGGTAAGTGCACGAATATTAAAAGTCAGCAGCCACATTATTTGTAGCTGTTGACTTAACTTTTTTTTTTTTTTTTTTTCTGGGAGATGGCAATGGCCGGAATTCATCAATATGTCCTAATAATTTAAAGTGTTGATGGACATCAAGCTGATTTCTTTTGCATGATTATTTAAGGCTGAACTCTGGTTAAATTGGCCTTCCCATGTGCACCTTGCTGTAAAGGCTAGTTATAGGTTGGGGTGGTTGCCATTTTTTTGCAAAATTCACAAGTTCCCCTTACAGCGGGGCTACCAACACTGCAAGGGTTAAATGCTCGTTATTCTCTAGGGACAGCATAAACCACAAATATACTTGCCTTATTCCTTGCTCCCCCCCTTCTGACTCTCCAGGTTATGGGTGGGCCCTCAGTGTCCTCACATGCAATGCAATACCACTGGTCCTGCATTTTACACAATGATATCAGAGTGCAACTAATAGAAGGGCAAAGAGCAGTGGCTTTGTGGGGACAGAAGGAAGCCTGCAGAAGCGAGGAATAAGGTGAGCAAAACTACTGTTTTTGTTCCCGTTATACACAAATGAACATTTAAAGAAGAACTGCTGCAATACCAGAAAAAAATGCTTTGTAAATCCCTGTGAACATAGCACTTAAAAATTGAGCAATGGTGGAAGTAAACCCCATTTTGATTTTTCTTAACAGGTAAAATTATACAAAAGCTTACCTGTAGGTTACGTGAATATCTCCTAAACATGCACCGTTAAGGAGAAATTAGCTTGGCTGACAGTCTGTGACATCACTGGCGCATGAGCTCTGAAGGAATGGCATACCCATGCTCTGTGCCGCGGCCATGGCTGCCGCGTGCATGTGCAGGTGTGACATCACCACGGCTCGGCCATTCAAGCGGCCACAGCCTGTGAACCCGGAAGGAAGACTGGGGGAAGACGTGCCACTGGAGGGCTTTGTTTCAAGGTAAGTCTTTCATAATGTGCTACTATGCAATGATAGATTGTAAGCTCGAAAGAGCAAGGCCCTCAATCCCCTCATGTTTTGCATTGTATTGTTATGTCACATGTTCTGTCCCCCTTTGTAATGTACAGCGCTGAGCAAACTATTGGCGCTTTATAAATACTGTATAATAATAACAATGATACTAGCACATTATGACTTTACCTTGCAGGGAAACAAAAAAAAAAAAAAAAAAAAAAAACTTTTTAGATAAAATTTATTTTCTTCTGTCATGGGTGTTCCCAGAGGGAGAGGTACAGTTGGCAATGAGCCATACCTGCAATTCTGTGTATCCTCATTTCTCCTGTTTAGCACAAAATCTGGTCCTGCAGCCTGCTATTCAGGGGAATGGAAACAGTGGAAACTGTCAGCTTGTATTTTGAATGATTGCAGCTAGATATAAGGGCTTTCATTCACAAAAACAAAATCTGACAACAGCACAAGCCAGGTACTACCATTGCCCAAAGACTAGTGTAGTACTTGGCCTGTGCTGTTGTCAGATTTTGTTTCTGAGAATTAAAGCCCTTATATCTAGCTGCAATCATTCACCACACAAGCTGACAGTTTCCACTCTCTCCGTTACCCTGATTAGCAGGTCTACTCTGTGCAAAATAAGCAGCAGAAAAAGAGACAAGACAGTGCACAATGGAACGATGTACTGTCTAGCAGTTTATGTGAAGGTGGGGGGGGCGCAGGGTCTGTGAAGGCTCTATGTACACGGTCTGTTGTGCTACCTCTCCTCCTGAGCTATCACTAGGAACACTGATCAACAGAGATGGCAATGAAGTTGAATAGCTAGGTGGATGGGCAGGGCTGTCTGACAACACTTGCATGCATTTAGATGGGTGCAAGTGTTATGTGCACAAAATCCCCCCCTTTGTGGGACGGAGGGTTGTTTAACCTCCCTAGCGGTCTGATTATGTCCATATTTCTGTGCGCAAAGCGGTAAATTTTTTTTGCATGGAAATATGTAGTTTTTTTTATTGTAGGCCTGTAATTTTTAGGAATAACTCACTGAAATCTGTCCGAACAAGAGTCTAGTAAACATCACGGTTATGATAAAATTTGAAATGCCAAATCATAAATTATAATTTAATAGATAATCATAAAAAGTAATATAATAATAAATTTAATTCAATAATATAATCAAACCAAAAACACTGAAATTTGAAATAGAGCGCACATCACTGAGCAAAGTCGCAAAATCATTTTCAGTGTCTGATGACGAATTTCCCCACGAATCATCACTCAATTCTGCAAGTGGTTCTGATTTACTATCGCTGTTCTCTAGCCGGTCTAAAACCGCTTTTGACATAAAGGGACGCATTTTGGACGCCATGGACGTTTCTCAGTTTCCAGGCAAAAAAGAACAGTAAAAATGCAGGCAGGGCGCAGGACAAAGCACTCGGGACAAAATGTATGTGAAATGGTTTGATACAGGAATGTTATACTATGTGATTTTAGTGTATTTAGTGAATGTCACTTTTTGTCATTTTAAAATTTCCCGCCGCCGTTCCGTCCCCCGTACATCCCGACGCTCGCAGGGGATGGAACCCAGATGTCAGATGCCAACATCCGCCGGAGGACATTACCGGGGACACTGCAGGAGGGGCATCGCGGGATCGCAGGACAAGGTAAGTGAAGAACATATCCCGGAGCAGCGCTGCATGGTAAGCCCGAGTGTAGCTCGGGGTTACCTCTTGTGGTACTGAAACTTTACCCCGAGCTACACTCGGGAGACCTCCAGGGAGGTTAATAAGCTGTCTTCTAGAAATGGTGGTTTTTTAAAACTGGCTGTAGATGGATGGAGGAATGCCTCTACCCAAACACTGTACTCTGACAGCGGCTCCTGCTGCTGTCAAAACACAATGAATGGCGGCTGCAACCAAGAAACAAGAAAGGTTTTCCAACATTCTCCCTTCCACAAAGTTGATCAAATTATCAACTTCTGTCGAGCTGGGACAGCCACAAACTGATTAGAATTCGGCCAGCCCTTTTGTGAACCTGCAGAATCTCAATGTGTCTATGGCCAGCTTAAAACCATATCAAACCCAAAATTGAATATATTGCATCTTACCAATCATAAGATGTGGTGGCTGCATTTGTTTTTTTTCCCCTTGGTTTTCACCTGGTGATCTGGACAGTAACATCTCCTGCATCAGAGTGCACCCACTCTGCATGAATGAGCACAGGGGGTGTCTTTTGACAGTAGCATTGTCAGTCGGGGGGGGGGGGGGGGGGGGGGAGTTAGATTTACTAGCAGCTTTAAATACACTAACAAATCGAAGGCAAAAAAAATTAAGCCAACAGCTTACAAGCCGTTACATCAGTTTTTTTTCCCTTTTGGAATAAAGGTTTTACATAAATAAAAGTGGATCATTGTAAGCACCCCTGCCAGTGTTGAATGGCTTGCCTCATCCCTGTAACTGCAAGAAAGCTTGTGCTTTTGAAAAACAACAAAGTGTTGCCAAATCCACAACAGTGAAATCAGTCTGTATATGCAGTAAAGCATGCTTGTTATACTGTGGAACCTAAGGGGTTACTCCTCTACATTGTGTAAAAAGGATGTTTAATCCTGTTTTCTATGATACTCCCTTTTTACTGTCCCCAATCCATCTTCTGAGCCCTAGGAGGCACTCTGAACATACTCTGTTTGGTGTGTATTGCTAAAGAGTTTTATTTTTTGGAGGGTGCATATGATTGGCACAAGGTCCAATCAGCACTGTCCAGATGGTCAGGAGTCATGCAGCCTCATAAGACAGTCAGAGAATGAAAAACTCATCCTACAAGCAGGAGCACCAGATGAAAATAGATGAAACAAAACCTAAAAAAGAAAACCAATACAGCCATCACATCTAAGAATCGGTAAGCTGAAATAAATTTAAAAAAAAAAAAATGGTTTGGGTTTTGGATTTATTACTGCTTTGTCCCATTCAGTACAGGGGGGAGCACTGTTGCAATGGTCACTTTTTTTTTTTTTTTTTTTTTTTTTTTTTTTTTTCCGCAAACGTGCAGATAACGAAAAACCCGTAAGTGAATCACAAAAAAAAGTGCAAGTGTAAAACACCACACGAAAAAGTGCACTTAGGGGTGTGCTTTGTCCTTTCCCCAAAGGGGATGGACCACTACCCTGATCCCCCGGGGCACAAAGCACCTGACAGGGACAAGGTTCCCATTTGGTCCTCCTGGACAAAAGGCCTGGTGGACCACCGTTCCTTGTGGCCAGCTAAAGCCAGCCACACAGTACTTGGCCAGTCACTTTTGCTTTACCTGCAACCCAGCTTAAAAAAAGAAAACCTGTGGAAAGACTACTTTTTCTAAGCTCTACAGTGACTCACTTGTCTTCCATGATGCGGCTCATGGTATAAATAGCGCTGTGACCGAGGTGTGTTCCCAAGAGGTTTCGCATCAGCTGACGAAACAGAAAAGAAATATTTATTCTATTCTAAGTGACAGAAATAAACTGGATACAATCAAAGTCATAAAAAAAGCAGCAAGGGCAAAAAATAACTCATTTGGAGACACCAACTTATAAGGCCTTCATAGAGAATTTACATACATGTAAGAAAACAGAATTCTATATACCCTTGCGTTGCACCTTAAATTTAGGACTCATGTAGATGAGCATCAATGTCAAATGCAGCTTTTGACACACAAAGAAAAAAAAAAACAAAAAAAAACCCCCCCAAAAAAACTACCTGAAATCCCAATGTCCCTAAGTAGGACCTGCTACATTAAGAGAAGTGCAATGCAATGCCAAGCTGTTAAGTGCAGGCTCTGAACGATCATCTAGACCGTTCCATTAAAGTCGATGGGAATCTGCCGATTTGCGTTTATAACCCACTTCAAATAGGCGAAAGCAAGCCCTTGTACACATTGCAGCATCGATTCTCACCTTCCAGCAGGGCTCGCACAGCTCTTTGACATTAATTGTTCGGCAAAGTGTGATGACAAATGTTGGGATGCTCTCTGACGGCAGACAGTTGTAACATACCACAGCATCCAGGACCTTTAGAGACACCTAGAAAATACAAAAACACCAGCTCAACTCTCCGGTGACAAAGAAGCCCTTCAAATTTTTTTTACTCTGAAATTCCTACTAGCCATACGGTTATCTTCTGCATACCATATCAAAATCATCTAGATGAAGGCCTACATTGCCAAAAGTAGATGCAGTGCAGAAATTGACATGTCTTCTGGTCAATTGAAGGTATAAAATAAAAATAAAAATGACACTCCATAGCATAAATCGAAGGGATACCAGATCAGGGACTCGAGAGACTATGCTCACTTGCCCTTGTTGAGGACATAACCCATGGTGGAAGCTGTGCTAAGTGCTAGTCCTCAGTATTGCCTGTAGGCTCCCTCCATGCAGCTGACCTTTTAGCTGCTGCTGACTTACCGTGCTTTGTTCTGCACTGTCTTTGTGCGGAGGTGGCCATCTTGGTAGAAAAAGGACTTTTCTTCCTCATACCAAAGCTGCCCTTCTGATAATTCGTGCGGTAATATTAAAGGAGAGGTTCAAAGGGTAAATATCCAAAATAATGAACGAAGAAGCAGGAAGACCCTTGCGCTGCAGGTTCTCAAATACAGCTTCTTTTCCAGCGAGGTAGTAGATCCTTAGATGATCTCACAATGCAGATTTGTCTTTTTTCTCCAGTTTGCCCGAGAACTGCAGTCTTATTGACCTCCTGGACCAAGATCATGCTTTCTTGATGACTTCTCTGCGTGGCTACCCTACTTGGTTTCCTCTGAAGTATCCATCATCCTCAGCATCTAACATTCCAGTCAATGTTAACATCTCAGCCACCTCTTAACTACTCAACCTAACCTCTTAACGAACGCAATGGACACAAAACCACTCACTCCAATGGCAACACCCTCAGCCTTGTATTCTCCCACCTCTGCACTCCATGCAACCTAATACCCCTTATCCCCTCTGATCACAATCTTACCAATTTCACACTCTCCCTGTCAGCCTCTTATGCCTCCAACTGCCAGTTACCAGTAGAAACCTTTGCCACCTTAACCCTTCCCTTCTTCAACCTGCTACTGGTTGCCTTTATGACAAAATTGCACCCATGTGCTGCCCAGATCTGGCCACTTCTGTCTACAACAACTTACCATCATCCTTCCTAGACACACTTGCTCCTCCTCACTACATGCAGAACCAGACCTCGCCTGCTACAACTCCAGCCTGGTTGTCGTCCTACCTATCTCAGTGCACATACAATGTCGTACACTGCATAGTAATGACATGCATGGGTGTCATCCATGAAGGAAGCCTCTCCTAAAGCCCATGCACAAAAAAGCCCGTCGAGAATTGTCTAGGGTCCATGCTGACTAATAAGACTAATGGGACTCTGTATGCTGGAGAGATGGGACCAAGATAAATGTTTTTGGAACAGATGGGTTCAAAACTGTATGACATCGCAAAGGTGAGGAGTACAAAGAAAAAGCCATGCTGCCTACAGTGAAACATGGTGGTAGCAGCAGGGGCGGACTGACCATTTGGAAACTCAGGCACTGCCCGAGGGGCCCGGGGTCAGTAGAGGGCCCCATGAGATGCCCTTGGTACCTTTTTTCATAGGCTTTTTTGAGTTTGGGCTAGGACACAGGGGCCCTATAATCCACGATTGCCCGGGGGCCCCATGAGTTGTCAGTCCGCCCCAGGTGGCAGTGTCCTTAGATGGGGCTGTATGAGTGCCGCTGGTGTTGGGGAGCTGCATTTCACTGATGGCATCAGGAATTCACAGATGTACTGCTCTATATTGAAAGAGAAGATGCTACTAAAACTCCGTGCCCTTGGCCGTCGGCCACTTTTCCAACATGACAATGATTTAAAACACGTATCTAAGGCCATTGATGCATTTCAGAAGTAGAATAAAGTGAAACCAATTCCGTGGCCAGGTAGGTCTCTCTGATCTGAACCCAATCGAACACCTATGGGGAATTCTGAAGAGACAAGTTGAGCATCACTCTGCATCCGGCATCCTGGCTCTAAAAAGAGGTCATTCTTGAAGAATGGAAAAAGGTTGCTGTTGCAATATGTTGCCAACTTATTCATCCCATGCCTAGAAGACTTGGTGCCGTCCTTACAAATCATGGAGGTCATACAAAATACTAGATGGAGGCGTTTTTGTTGTGGGGTATATTCATTTTTGCATCAATTTGAGTAAAACTGAAGATTTTTTAATCTAAGTTATATTACCTTACTTTCATGTAATGAGCCGAACAAAAATGTTCTATAAAACTCAATTTTGTAAAAAGTTTGGAAACTGTTCTTGTATTCATTGAGATATTGATTAAAATCTTACTCATTTATGCTGAGAACTGTGTATGTTTAATTCCATTAACTATTTATACGTTAATTCTTGAGGGTAGGTGCGTAAATTGGGGCAGGTTGGTAGGGGCCCCAGTGCATTACTTTTCCTAGGAACCTATGATGCTATTACTACAGCCCTGTTCCATGAAACAACACAGCTCCAGCCTAAGTGGAAGCTTTTCAAGGCTGCAGTATGTTGAACAAAACTTTTTTGGGGAAACGTTAAAAGCCAAGGCAGGTTTTATTGCTGACTTTATCCTCATTGAGACTTGCTTCCTGTCTCAGTGCTGCGTGGGACACAGGAACTGATAAGGAATCTTTCCCACGGGGACACAGACACCACCAAAGTATAGTGGGGAATGGGAAGAACTAGTCTTCAGGCGATTTGGGAGGGTTGTTTCTGCTGCTACACCCACCAAATGGGTCTTGAATTTTATACATGAAAATGCAAAAAACGTATTTTAAATACAAATATTAACCGGAGGCATGAGTCCAAAGCAAGGAAAACATAGCTTGCATTGTGTAACTTTCAGGGAAAAAAAATACCAACATGTAAGAAGTACTTAATGCATATTTACTATACATGCACACAGCATTGCACTGACTGAGGAATAAAAGCAGGGTGGATAAAAATCAATGATTTAAAAAAAAAAAAAAAAAAAAAAAAAAAGGATTTTTTTTTTATTTAAATTGGATTTTTTTTTAATTTAAATCAGATTTTTTTTTTTTTAAATAAAATGCTTTTTGAGAAAAATATATTACCATCCAAAGGGTATTCTATCATGAAATAAAGATTAGGTTTTTAATTATGTAGAATAAGGCTGTATATGTTTAATTTTTTGGTAAATAAATTCCATGAATCCATTCACAATGTCATGCTCTTCCAGAAACTGTCATGCTCTTCCAGAAACTGCCCAATAATCCAAGATTATTGGGCAGTTTCTCTGCCTACAAGATATTATCACAGATGTTTGGTTTACTTTTGCAGTTCTCAAAACTGAATTTGACTCAGCGGAGATCACATGCCTCTTCTTCACAGCAAAAATGTTATAACATGAACAGAGTTAAGAAAAAGACCTTCATCCTAACCTCTACAAACCTATGAATACAGAATCAACCCCTTCAGTGCTAAGGTTCAAGAAGTTCAGTGAATAGAATAGAAACAATATTTTTTTCTGATTGTTTGGAGTGGAATAGATCTGCACAAGAAGAAAGTGAAACTAAGTGTGAGGGGGAGGGGCTGACAGTCTAAGTTTCTTAAAATATATATATTTTGTTTAGCCAAATTAGTTAACAAACATGGATGTTTAAGCAAATCACATATGCTGGAATGTTATTGTTTCAGTTGAATAAATCTATTTAAATTGTTATTATTAAGGTAATGATTATTTTTCTCCTTCCTAAGTACAACAGAAAAGTTGTCCAAATATGAATGATTAACCTATTAAACTGGGGATAAAAAAAACTAATATGAAAAGTTATTCTAAAAATCTTCATCTACTTGTATATTAAAGTTATACCAGCAAGAATTAGTCTTTATGTAGAAAACTAGGATTTAAATCAAGCCTTACTGACTAGTGATTTAAATCGTGATATAAATCAGTTTGATTTAATTCAAATCCACCCTGAATAAAAGCATTTGAAAAACAGCAGAATAAGGAATGCTGTGATACTAAAATACCACATGATGCATGGCAAACCCAATTATTGTAGGCAGACACTGCTACATACCATCCAATTCCAACACTGCATTCCTGATCCTTCAAAACAAAGTGCTGAGCAGAGGACCTACAGCGATCTCTCTTCTAGTGTCCATTTGTATGAACGTATGTGCAAAAATTCTATAGTCTAGCTCCCTGGGCACCATGTTTAATACTCTTTAAAGCCTTTTAAGTAGATTTTTTTTATCTTAAAGAGGTAGATTGCCAGGTCTTTTGTCAACTCTTCCCAACTGCTAAGCATGGGACTGGCAAGCAAAATGCGATAACATAGGTGTATAGCCAATTTATGCACACATACTAGGGATAATTTAGACATGTCTTTGGAGTGTGGGAGGAAACAGGCGTAACTGAGAGGAACCCATGCTAACACAATGAAAACATGCAAACTACATGCAGATATTCTGGCCTAGATTTGAACCAAGGTGATTTGAAGCAGTGCTCTAAAGAATGAATGCTAACCATTAAGTCACTGTGCTGCTCCAATCCTCATGTAAGTAGAGCGAACACCTCCAGAGGTCTAATGTATTACCTGATGAGCAATCAGAAGAAAAAAAAAAAAAAACAAAAAACTAACCTCGATGTCATAGGAAGATGTAGTCCGATTACAAAGCAGACAAATCATTCTGTGAAAAAGAAAACATACATTATGGATTCAATCTATGCTGTGCTATACCAACCTGCAAACAAAGGATGCATAACAGGACTTACTGCACCATAGGAGCAATGTAACGTTCCAAGTAACAGCTGTGAAACTTCACCAGATTCACCAGAACCAGCAGGAAATCTGGGGACAGGCCCACCTCCATCCACTGCAGGACAAACGCCGCTGCAAAGAAACCAAAACAAAATACAATGATGGGAGGATGACTGATCAAGAGCCAGTATCTTAAAGCGATTCTAATTTTAATTTTTTTTTAAATAACAAAAATGCCATACTTACCTGCTCTGTTCAATGATTTTGCACAAAAGCAGCCTGCTCAAATTCTCGGATCCCCCGCTGGTGCTCCTGGCTCCTGCACCTTGACCAGTGCCACCCTATAGCAAGCAGTTTGCTATGGGGGCACTGGTGCCTGCTCGCTCCTGAGCCCCACGCTATGAGTTCATAAGACACAGAGCAGCTACTCTGTCCCACACTCTTCTCATTTGCTCAATGGCTGTGATTGACAGCAGTGGAAACAAATGGCTCCCACTGCAGTGTCTCAGCCAATGAGAGAGAGACCTGGGACAGCCGAGGCTCCCATGCACATCGCTGGATCGAGAGGGGGCTCAGGAGAGTAGAACGGTTAACAACATTTCAAGTACAATCACAATAGGGGTCTTAACCTAGGTTCACATTATTGCTGCTGCATGATGCGTTTTACATCTTTTCTGCTTCATGTACTTGTAGAAGGACACTGAATTTTATACATAAAACTCTGCCAAAAACACACTAAAAACATGTGTACATGCACTTTCCATGTTTTCAAAAAAATGCACTGCGTCGCACTGCATTGATGTCAACAGGCACCATAAGGAATAGAAATGAAATGTCAGCTTGACAACAAGCGCAGGAGAAAACACTAATGTGAATGGGTGCTTAGAGTTCATTTTATATACAAAGCATCCACAGTCCGAGTAGAAAAAAACGTCCCCTGCCAGCATGCTGCAGAGGATACTTGCGCTCTGTGGGGGAAGCAGCTCTCTGCAGAGGTCTGATATGTCCTTTGCTGAGTTAAAGTGGTTCTAAAGGCTCAAGGCCCAATACTCACCTAAGCCCCCTCTTGATCCAGCGATCTGTACTGAAGTCTTGGCTATCCCGGGACTCACTCTCATTGGCTGAGACAGAAGTGGGAGCTATTGGCTCCCACTGCTGGTAATCAGAGCCAGTAAGCCAATGAGAAGAGAGAGCGTGCGGGGCCGAGCTCCGGCTCTGTGTGAGAATGGATACAAGGAACATGACAGGAGGGAGGGGCCAGGAGCACTGGCGGGGGACTTGAGAAGAAGAGGATCCGGGCTGCTCCGTGCAATATCAGGTAAGTATAGACACGTTTGTGATTTAAAAAAAAAAAAAAAATAAGCCTTTAGAATCATTTTAAAGCTAGAGCTTTTCAATCAGCAGCGAGGGAATGAGTTTTGCTGTTTGCACATGTATAGGTGTGACTCAGCAGGCGAGCTGCAACTCAAGCACAAATCCAAGATCACACAAGTTCAGATTGGCGGATACTTCCCTAAGATTATGTCCCATCAACATGTGACCCATCAACACTAAGCAGATGTTTCTTAGGCTACGATAAGAATTTTGTGGCTTTTGCTAATGATTAAGTGTTTAAAGGAGTACATTGGATAAAGGAGCTGGGGATCATACTTAAATATGGATCTGCTTGATTCTGCAATACGGGACAGTTTAAGAAAAGCATTTACAATGGGGCCATATAAGAAATACTGTATAAAAGAATATGGTGGAACTGTAGACACAGAATGTGCCGTGTCAAATGGCACCAGACAACTGTGGACAAACAGAGCTGACAATAGTATAGGTATGAACAATGCTGAAGACACCACAAAAAGCAAAAAAAACAGATCTGAGGACAACCTCATTTGATTTAAAGATAAACGCCATTCAAACCTGCCAAAATACATAACTGAATAAGAGAAGTCCTGAAACTTACACAGCTCTACTGCACAGTAAGCCTGGTGACCTTACCCATCTCTACAGCTAGGTCACCTCTTTGCCTCCCAGTCTATGACTGGACAACACTGGAGTGGCAAAAGACTGATGAGGTCTGCTGTTTGCTCCTATTAGCAAGTGCTGTCCCACCCCCTACCAGTCTGAATGAAGCTGTACAGGGAATTACTAGATGATGAAATAAAGAGTTAAAGCGGAGCTCCACCCAAAAGGGGAAGTTTCGCTTGAAGGACTGTTTCCCCGCCCCACATTAAGGATTGGCACCTTTGGGGGGCGGGTACCCGAATTTGACAGGTACCCGCTTCCATTTCCGGTCCGATCGCCTAGGCAATCGGAAACAAAAAGGTGTCCTCCCCTCCCTCCCTGTGGTCTTTTGGGACACGTGACATGTCCCAGAAGACTACAGGACCATTCATGAAGCACAGCGCTACTCGCACATGCGCAGTGGGTACCCGGCTGTGAAGCCGCAAGCTATCACAGCCGGGAGCCCACACTGAAGATGCCGGCCTCCTGGAATACAGGACGGCCGGTGAAATAGGCTGCGGGGGGACACACCGCAGGACCGAGGGACAGGTAAGTGGCTGACTTATTTTTTGACAGAGTGAGTGGAACTCCGCTTTAAGTACGCTCACTATACGAATTTAAAAATATTTTTAAGTATATAAGTGAATTTATTTACCTTTTTATATCTGCCTGAAGTTTAACTTGAACAATGGTCTGTTAGAAAGGTAGACCCATGCTGTAATCAACTTTCTAAACCAGCAGTGTCAAACTGGCGGCCCTCCAGCTGTTGCCAAACTACAAGTCCCATCATGCCTCTGCCTTTGGAAGTCATGCTTGTAACAGTCAATCTTGCAATGCCTCATGGGACTTGTAGTTTGGCAACAGCTGGAGGGCCGCCAGTTTGACACTGCTGGTTTAGAAAGTTGATTACAGCATGGGTTTGACACCCCTGATCTATGCTATAAAAAAAACCCAGACTTGACTTACCCAGCTCCTCCTCCAGGTAGGTGATGTCTCTGCCATTATCAGTAAGGGCTTTAAAGACCTCCAGCCTCTGCTCAAGGTCCTCGTTGGTGGGGTAATCCTTTATAACCCGGAAAAAATGTGCACGTAGAAATCCCAGCCTTTCGCCCTATAGAAGAATATATTAGAATACATAATCGATTCTTCAGCAATTCACACTTGGTCAATGTAAATCCATTCTTCAATTTTGGGAGATTTATTGTTTGCTTAGTTAAAGCCCAACTAAAGACATAGAAATAAACATGCAGTGTGATGCAGTTCAAAAGGTACCAGAGTTAGCACCAGTGCACTCTAATGTAACTGACAATCCCTCCCATTCTCCGCAATGCAAGTCTATGTCAGGACCCTTGTGATGGGGGGTGTGGCTATTCCTGAGCTCTGCCAGTGAAGGGTACTGCAGGGTGAGGACAGTAAGAATTCAGTTGGGTTAATATAGAGTGACTGGGCAAACAAGAATTTTAAATATTATAAAAATGCAACACCTGGGAATAGTTTTTTTTATCAAATATGTTACCAAGACTCTCTCAGGAAATAGTTCTGGCCAGCTAAATAGATTGCTTTAAGAAAAAGAACTAGATGAATTCCCCAAAAAAAACCAAAAAAAAACTGGACATTAACATTTACAGGTTAACACTACCAGAGATTGTTGATCCAGGTAATACCATATTATACCTAGAGGATCAGAAAGCAATTTATTTTCCCCCCCTGCAGTTAATTGGACCATGATTTATATAGATTTACATGATTATATAGGTAGGCTTCCCCTGGATCAACTGTGGGTATTGGAATATGTATATGGAGGATTTTTTTTTTTTTTTTTTTAATTGTATGAACAAGATGGACTTGTGTGTTTTTTTTTCAACCTATGTAACCTCTAATGACTACTTTACTGCACACAGTGCTCTTCTTCTGGAGTTGTGATTGACTTTCAGCACTCATAGTGAAAGATCCTGTCATTTGCCCTATCTTTCCTCTCCTCCTGTCCATTTACAATATACCTTTTATTCTGTTCACAGAATGCAAGTTGTTCTGGGAATAGACCAGGGGAGATGCTCTCATTTATCCGCTCCCTCCTCTCACCTTGACTATTCACAGAACTGTATAAGAGCCTGAACGTTCATACTTTGTATATCAGAGATCATCAAGAAGGAATAGTCTAAACTTTCCAAGACAAAACAATTATTCACCAGCATAGCACATCCTCAGTAATGAGGATGTTGAATTATATGGGAGATGTACCTACTGTTACAGAGAATGACATGTTGCAACCTATAAAGGCTTGATAACTGTGTGGCTACTAGGGATACACTGATACAAATATCAGTGCAGATACAGAGTATTTTCATGAGTACATGTACTCGTGAAAATGCTCCAATTACCTGAAATCGATACTTTGTGGTGAAATTTACGTCCATACAAAATGTATGGACGCAAATTACACCACAAATCGCAATGCAATGCTGTCCAAATCACATGCGGTTTTCCCTACTGCTCCTGTGTGAACCCAGGCTTGTCACAGTCCGAGCTCACACAGGATCGATGCAGAAAAACGTCCCTGCACCAACCTCATGCTGTCAAACAAGGAAAAGTCGCTTCACAGGTCTGGGGAATCCTTGCTACTTTCTCTCCTCTCCTTGCAGGGATGACAGTATGGGCTAGACTGCATCTGATTAGTCAGCACCATGATGTTCCTGTGACAAGGTTGGGCTCACAAAGGAGCAGTGGGAAACCGCATGTGATTTGGACAGCAATCGCACTGCATTCCTGTTCAAATCAGATGCTATTCTTTGCAGTGCAATTTCCCTCCGTACATTTTGTATGGACACAAATTGCACCACAAAGTATCAGCAAGTACTTGACTGAATGCATCAGTACTTGTACACGCCAAAAAAAAAAATAAAAAAATGATATTGGTGCATCTCTAGAGGCTACAGTTTGAAATTGTTGCTGCAGAACTTTGGATATCAGCTGTAGAACAGATATATACATGTACTGAAATACTATCATCTTCCATTAGTCAAGTCCTGCATATAACCACACTGTTCACTATCTCAACAAGCTCGGTGTGATGTTGCCATCTCATAATATCACGAAAGTCTCTACAGTCTGGATGCAAAGTCAGTGCTAATATATCTACAGTGGGGCATAGAACAGTGACCTTGCATGGTTACAGCTATACCCACATGGATAGGTTGGAGGTTTCTTTAGTACCCTGTTCTACATTACTTTTTGTTCATTTCTACACTTAACGTAGTTATAATCGCTTCCATATACCCAGTGAATTGACTGGCCTCAGGTGAAACACAAATGGAACAAATCCTCCTACATACGTTGTATCTGTCTATGTGCAGTTTTCTCTTCTCTACATCTGTCCAGAATGTATAAAGCTTGTGTATGCTTCCAGAAAGCAGGGGACAGAGTGCTGAAATTACACACTGCAGAGCTCAGTGAGGAAAGCTCTGAGACCTGATTGGAGGGAAGAGACACTCCCCCCTTCACACAGCACACAGGAACAGAACTGAGACGTCAATCACAGGCTGTGTGCTGGAGGTCCCTCCCTTGTCACCTTTTCTTTTGGTGTCAGGAAAACTTGTTAGAAGTAATTCATGCTGGTAGTAGAGGAACAAAGCAGTAGACAGAAATGACACTTGTCACAGTGTTCTTATTTGAGACAAGTACACATATAGTAAGATATACTTTGTTCATATTTCATGTTTGAGGCGTACAACCACTTTAAAATGGTTTAATATAGAAGCCTTTGGTGACCATAGTAAGTCTTCTAAGCACATCCAAAATTAAAATGTAACCGTTTTGCTGCGGAGCTATGAAGCCACTTTTTCCCCCCACCGAGGCATCATGGCAGATACAAATTACCATCATATAACAAACCGTTGGTCACACTGTAGGTGGGCTTTTTCCCATTTGGGCCCAATTAGGTCTACATCCAGGGTTTTCATTATGTATGAACAATCTTACCTAGAATGAAATAACTGCTCACCCAACACGTAGTTAGCCCAATGAGGGTCTCAAAACATGCATCATATTGACACATAAATTCCATGAAAAAAATGACGGCATACCTGTCCAAAGATGAGGCTCTTCAGCAAATTCAGAACATCAAGTCTGCCCTCAGCTGGCTGGTCTGGCTGCAATAGATCTGACACCGACACCCAGATCGCTTCCACAGCATGCTGGTTACAAAAACAACAGTTACTGCATTTGCAACAAGGTTCTAATACAATTAAAAGGTCAAGCTCACCCAAAACAAATTGTTGAGTTCAGGTAGTACAAACAGGCGGCTCAGTGTCCATTTTTTTTTACATTTTTATATTCTTGTAGACTGCCTTGTCAAGATTCAGCAGTACTGGGTCTTCACCCCCTCACACAAAGACTTTATTCACACTTGTGCAATTTGTTATTGGACACAAAGTCAAAGCCCATTGTTTTGAATGGCAACTGTTTGGATCTATGCAAGTTAAAGTTGCAGCGACTTTGAAAAAGTTCCTGGACTACTTTGATGCGACTGAAAGTGGTAGTAAAGTGTGTTTTTACACTTGTACCAGCACCTACCTATATTAAAGGCGTACCTTGAGGGAGCCGTAAATATCTCCTAAACCTGTGTAGAGCACCGACGCATGCGCTCTGAATGAATGGCATGCCCGTGCGGTTCCTTCAGAGCTGTGTGCCATAAAAAGTGACTCCTGTGTGCATGCATGGGAGTGATGTCATTGCGGCTTGGCCATGCACGCCGCCAGAGCCCGTGAACCTGGAAGAGGGACAGAGAAGATGGAAGCCCTGTCAGCGGTGACAGCACGCCGCTGGGGGCTTTGTTCTTGGGTAAGTATTCCATAATATGCTAGCATGTGATGCATACTAGCACATTATGACCTTGACTTGCGGGAGAGAATTTTTTTTTTTTTTTTTTTTTTTGAGAGTTTACTACTACTTTAAGGCCAGAGAATGTAAAGTTGCAACAAAGTCACACTGGATATCGCACAAGTGTGAATGGAGCCTCACTTCCGAAGACAAAAGCTTATCATGCATTATAAAGGATTCTTCAGGAGAGGGGACATCTGGCTGGGTAATGGAGGCAGTAGTTGGGTGGTACCAGGAGGTCCGGCTGTGATCTCCCATAATGTGTATGCTTGCCAAGCGTTGTTATGATAAAGCGAAGTCTAATACAGACCTAAAATGACCGCTCAACACAAAGAAAAGATCATTTTGGTGAAATGCGATTTGATTTTCCAGCAGGAAATGACTGTTTAACCACATGCCGCCCAGCCACCGCATATAAACGGTGGCAGGGCGGCGCTCATAGGCAAAAGCACGTTTTAAAACGCTGCCTTCAAAACAGGTAGGGGGCGCGCGCGCCCGCCTGCCTGTCCCGCGGGTGTCAGCAGCGGGTCTCCGCCGCCGGGTCACGGCCGTTTTCCCCGCGATGAGTGGTAATCACTGACACAGAGCAGGGCTGCAATGTTTACACACAGCCTGCTCTGTGACAGTTCGCCAACAAGCTGCAGAGGGAGAGAAGAGTTCCCCCCCCCCCCCCCCTCCAGTACACACCCCCCCCCCTAGTAAAACACTCCCCTTACCAAGCAAATTCTAAAAATGTTAACCCCTTCCTCCCCAGTGACATTAGTACAGTTTCAGTGGGTTTTTTTCACCGATCACAGTATTGGTGTCACTGGGGATGTCAGTGACCCCAAGTCAGTTCCCCCCCCAGTGTCAAAATGTCCACCGCAGTCCCGCCATAAGTCGCTGGTCGCCGCCATATGTCGCCGATTGCCGCTATATGTCGCTGATCGGCGCCATTATTAGTATAAATAAAAATTAAAAATTCCAGTATCTTTCCCGCCATTTGTAAACGCTATAACTTTCACGTAAACCAATTAATTTACACGTATTGGTTTTTTTTTTTAGCAAAGACATGTCGCAGAATGCATTTTGGCAGAAATTTATGACTAAATTTGATTTTTGCATTTTTTTTTACTGGACATGTTTTATAGCAAAAAGTCCAAAATATTGTTTTTTTTTTCCTCAAAATTGTCAGCCTTTTTTTTTATAGCTCAAAAAATAAAAACCGCACAGGCGATCAAATACCACCAAAAAAAAACCTCAATTTGTGGGGAAAAAAAGGATGTAAATTTCATTTATCTACCGTATTGCATGACCGCGCAATTGTCTGTTAAACTAGCACAGCGCTGTATAGCAGAAAAATGGCGTAAATTGCAGTATTTATACCATAGATTGTAGACGCTATAACTTCCACACAAAGCAATCAATATACACTTATTGGGATTTTTTTTACCAAAAACATGGAGCAGAATACATTTTGGCCAAAATTTATAACCAACTTTGAGTTTACTATATATTTTTTATAGCAGAAAGTAAAAAATATTGTTTTTCTTCAAAATTTTTGGCCTTTTTTTGTTTATAGCGTGAAAAATAAAAAGCGCACAGGTGATCAAATTACACCGAAAGAAAGCTCTATTTGTGTGAAAAAAAGGACGTAAATTTTGTTTGGGTGCAGCATTGCATGACCGCGCAATTATCAGTTGAACTAGTGCAGCGCCGAGTAGCAAAAAGAGGCCTGATCATTAAGGGGGGTAAATCCTCAGCTCAAGTGGTTAAGGGTCAAATTGCCCATGTTGTATAGCTGATACTCAAAATTTGACAGGTACTAGCTCCTACTTCCAGCCCGATCGCCTTGTGTTAAAGCCATATTAAACCCAAAAGTAAAAACATTTATATTTGCTTTTGGGTTTAAAAAAAGCTATATTTATTTATACTGCACCTCATTAATTCTTAGATGTGATGGCTGCATATATAAATATATATATATTTTTTTAAACATTGTCTGAAAAACAGTCACACTTACATCCTCGAACTTCTTTGTTTTCGCCAGTTCACAGATATGGCTCATTGCACGCGCCCTAACGCTGAGGGCGCTCTCGGGGCTCAGCTCCTGGTGGCCAGACAGAAAATAGGAGGTATGTTAGAGCGAAGTGAAGAATCTTTAAAACAAGAAAGCATTTAGATCAACCTTACTCAACCTTTTTACCCCAGAGGAAACCCTTGAAATGATTTTGAGGTCTAGGAGAATGCTTGCTTAAAACAATTACGGGGTCAGTAAGGAAAATGCACTTTAGATTGGTGGTGATTGGGAAGAATGCAACCCCACAGTGGTGATCAGAATACCACCTTTACAGACAGCTGAAAAGAATATCAGTGTTAAGCCACCAGCTCTTCTACTATGCAGGCACCTGACTGTAGGTTAATCCAGCCTCTCTCAACCAGGGTGCCTTGAGGTTTTATCAGGGGTGCCTTGGCAAAATGTCTGAAAATTGCCCAAAACTTGCACACAAGCCAGCGGGTGGAACAAACCTGCCTTTTAGTTACACAAAGCCACAGGTTTTCATTGTGCACCATTATGTCCTAGCCGCCGGCGTCCTGACAACCAATGACATCAGTTGATGAGGATGTCAGCTGCCTGCACAGCATCCTAGTTTGATCCTCCCCCCCTCTCTCCATCAGTGCTGGGGTCACATTAGCTCAGTGATGGAGAAAAACTGAGGGAGAAGAGAAACACTGGAATACTAGTCAGTACCAGTGTGCAAAAGTGTATTTGCTTAGGAAAAATAAATCACCTCTAATGTTGGGTGTCCTACATGTGTGGATGTTGCTGCGTTATATAAAACTGTTAGAATAGTTTTTTCACATTTTAGAATGGGGGGGGCCTTGGGACTGTCTAGAATTTCAAAGTGTGCCTTGGGACTGTCTAGAATTCTAGACAGTCCCGAGGCACCCTTTGAAATTCTAGACAGTCCCGAGGCACCCTTTGAAATTATAAAGGGTGCCTTGGGACTGTCTATAATTTTAAATGGTCCTTCAGGACAAGGGGAGCAGACTGACAACTCATGGGGCCCCCAGGCAATAGGGGATCATGGGGCCCGTGTCCTCACCCACACTCAAACTACACCCAAAAAAGCCTATTAAAGGTACCAGGGGGATCTCATGGGGCCCCCGACTGACCCCGGGCCCTCAGCCAATGCCCAAGAGCCTGAATGGTCAGTCCGCCCTTGCTCGGGACTGTCAATTTTAAAGGGTGCCTTGACTGAATAAAGGTTTAGAAACACTGGGTTAATCAGCCACAGCTCGAGGAACCACCTAGAAACCTCTGGAAGAACCCTGGTTGAGAATGCCTGATGCAAAATGCCCAGCCATGACCAGAGACCACTTACTTTCAGCAGTTCTGCGGTGATAATGTACTCCGGTAGCCTGTCAGAATGTTTGGATTTGGGACGTGGAGGCCCAAACCCCAGAAACATCTTCACCTTCTCCTTCAGGCCCGGGTCTCTGCTCATTTGTCGTGCCATGGTTGGAGTGACGAGGGGCCCTGTGTGGACACAAAGCATGCTTAGTACACATAGAATATAAAATTGGCAAAACTTGATGGTTAGGCATCTTTTCCACGAAAATAATCCTCTACTATCTTATACATCTCCAGAATTCTAAAAAAAAAAAAAAAAAAAAAAAACCTAAACTTTATTGTAGATATATAACCACTTGTTCCCAAGACAACTAAAAAGGGATTTTTCCCTCACTTTAGAAACATTTTATATAAATTCCAGTTTTAAGTACAGGACAGGACCTTCCTGGGCCCTTTTGAAAAAAAGAAAAATGGTCTGGGGTCGCATTTAAAAACACACCAACGATAAGGACAGCCAATGAGCAGTTTCTCCTGCGGCTGTCAGCAGGTAGGTGCGGCTGCCGGCCCCATTCACTATAATGACAGTTTGCCAGCAGCCGCACCTATTCGTGGCTCTCTACACAGCCAGAGGTTACCTGCAGCGATCACTACTGGACGCAAAGCAAGTGCGCAAGACGCAAAGACCACAGGTATTTGCTGGCTGTGTAGAGAGCTTCAAATAGGTGTGGCTGCCGGTGAACTTTCATAGTGAGTGCCGGCAGCCACACCAAGCCACTGAGAGCCGCAGGAGGAACTACCAGCCCTAACCGCTGGTGTGAATATAGCCCATGTATGTGCTGTATGGGGAAGTGAGGGGCACAACTGAAATCTGGGGGAAGGAGCAGGTTCAGCCCTCCCCAGCACCCCTAGATTCAACCATGCAGCACTTACCTAGTGCCTCTGCACTCCATACTGCTGGTGCTATTGCAAACGTGGCAGCCCCAGCATTCCTCCAGCTGTGCATTTGCCTGGCTTGTCAGTGTAATCTGCCACGGATTCTATCTTTACACACAGGGGCGGACTGACCATTTGGAAACTCAGGCACTGCCCGAGGGCCCGGGGTCAGTAGGGGGCCCCATGAGATGCCCTGGTACCTTTTTCATAGGCTTTTTTGAGTTTGGGCAAGGACACAGGGGCCCCATGACCCCCTATTGCCCGGGGGCCCCATGAGTTGTTAGTCCACACGTTTACACAGTATCCCAACAGATGGGCTGGTCTGTGTTGGCCATTGTGGCTTCTGTGCTTGCACAGCATGCCCAATTTCCCTCCAAATGGGCCCTGGGCTGCACGGTAAACTCTGGGGCCGCATGTGGCCCATGGGCCATGGGTTGGACACCCTTGAGGTAAAGGGAAATCCCCCTCCCCAACAGGCACAGCAAAATAAAAAGTCTGGAGGTTTTTATCCCTTCACTACTCTGTTCAAAATGAATAAAGTTTTGGGCTTAAGATCGAGGCTGTCAACTTATGAGCTAAATGGGACTCTCAAATGTGGCCACTATCACCACCAAAGGGTCGCACATAAAGTTCAATATATGTAATGCTTGAAAAAAAACAGCCAAAAACTGCAGATCTATTAGGAGGAAACAAGGGTCATAGTATGGACATGCTATATTTTTAAGGGCTCCTGGACCCCCTTTACTTTCTCTGAGACCTCCAAGTGCTGTTTCCTCTCATGTCTAGGTACCTCTTCTGCTTACTCCTCTCACCGAATCCCCCAAAGGAAAATCAGGAAGAAGAAAAGACCATAGCGTGATACCGCAGTAACTTCTCCTCAAATTAATCTCTCCAGACCACTCACATTCTTTTGCGGGATATAGCCCGCTTTTTATTCAAAACAACAGCGATTCTCTTCAAAATTGATCCACTTTTCATGTACAAACCGATTATATAAGGATTATATAAGGACCCCACAGTTTAGTGTGCAGCAGGATGGCAGACCTCAGCTACAGACTCTTCTCCTTAGACTAAGATGGCCCCTTGGAACGCACCGCTCGGCGTGCGCTCCACTCACCGGAAATGACGTCAGACGACGGACCAGGCAACCGGAAGTGCGTCCGGTTGCCTGGTCCGTCGTCTGACGTCATTTCGTGAGTGGAGCGCACGCCGAGCGGTGCGTTCCAAGGGGCCATCTTAGTCTAAGGAGAAGAGTCTGTAGCTGAGGTCTGCCATCCTGCTGCACACTAAACTGTGGGGTCCTTATATAATCCTTATATAATCGGTGTACATGAAAAGTGGATCAATTTTGAAGAGAATCGCTGTTGTTTTGAATAAAAAGCGGGCTATATCCCGCAAAAGAATGTGAGTGGTCTGGAGAGATTAATTTGAGGAGAAGTTACTGCGGTATCACGCTATGGTCTTTTCTTCTTCCTGATTTTCCTTTGGGGGATTCGGTGAGAGGAGTAAGCAGAAGAGGTACCTAGACATGAGAGGAAACAGCACTTGGAGGTCTCAGAGAAAGTAAAGGGGGTCCAGGAGCCCTTAACAATCCTGAAAGGCGTGTGACTCACCATTATCTGGTGAGTGCGGTTAATGTTGATTTCTGCACTGGATGGTGAAGGGATCCGTAACACGGAAGAATCATATGGAAAATATATTATAAAATTAATTTGATTAATTTTGTCACGGGACTTTAATTATATATATATATAATATATATACTTTCTGGGATTTTTCTGATTTTTTTGTCACTTTGTTTTTTCACTGGACTCATAATTTTATATATAATATTTTTGTATCAACATAATTTATATATAATTTATTATATATAATTTTATTAGTACATTAATGTTTTTTTTACACTGAGTAATGTAATTGATCATGTGGGTTTGCGCTGGTTTTCATTGTTAAAAGTTTTTGGTCTTTTGTACCTGTGCACAGCAGCATCTCACGGGGTTTTATATGGTAAATAGGAAGTCCTGAGCGCTGAGGTTTTGTTTTTTTATATGCTATATTTTTGCCTGGGGATATGCTACAGCAGACAATACGAAACTGGGAATGTGTTAAACGAGGTTAGTCGAGATCATTGCTATTACATTCCTAATCAATGTTCCCACTACAGACTACTGAGGTGCGTGTATATACAGTGGCTAAATGGTTAGCACTTCAGCCTGGCAGAACTAGGGTCATTGGTTCGAATTCCAGCCACGGCACCTTCTGCCTAGAGTTTGCATGTTCTCCCTGTGCCTGCGTGGGTTTCCTCCACGTACTCCGGTTTCCTCCCACACTCCCAAAGACATGCTGGTAGGTTAACTGGCTCCTTTCTAAATTGTCCCTAATATGTGTATGTATGAATGTGAGTTAGGGAGCTTAGATTGTACCCCCCTTGAGGGTTAGGGACTGATGTGAATGTACAATATGTATGTAAAGTGCGGCGTACAATTGACAGCGCTATATAAGTACCAGAAATAATAATTATATATATATATATATATATATATATATATATATATATATATATATATATATATATATATATAATAAATAATGGCCACAGGTTGGGCACCAGGGCTTTAGATATCCTTTAAATCAACAAAGGTTATCCCTTAGTTAAGACTCCCTCTGTAAAGGGGAAGTGTGAATGGACTGAGCTCACATGACAACGCACGCCATATACTCCAGATGACTCCAACCTCATGCGCAGAGTCTCCAGTCTTTTTGTTGTGGAAAACGCAGGCATGGCAGCACAGTCAAATAGTTGGGCTACAGTGCCTGCGCAAACATGGGCCGCATGGCCCACACAAGTGGGAATCAGTGCTTACAAGCACAGTCACGTGTCTGCTAAAGGACAATATTCTAGAATGGCGGTATTATTATAATACAGGATTTATATAGCACGAACAGTTTGCTCAGCGCTTTACAATAGAACGGGAGACAATACAGCAACAATACAGTTCAATACAAGAGGGATAGGAGGGCCCTGATCCTGGGAGCTTACAATCTAGGAGGGAGAGGCTGGTGGTACAAAAAAGGTAGTAACTGTGGGAGATGGACTGGTTGGAAGAGTAGAAGATTCTGTTATTAGCTGAGGGCAGGATGGGCTTCCCTGAAGAGAGAGGTTTGCAGAGATCACCTAAAAGGGAGCAGAGTAGGCGATAGTCGGATAAATTGGGGTAGAGAGTTACAGAGAATGGGGGAGGCTCTGGAGAAGTCCTGGAGACGAGACTGGGAGGAGGAGACAAGGGAGCTAGAGAGCAGGAGGTCGTGTGAGGAGCGGAGAGGACGGTTTGGGTGATATTTGGAGACAAGATTGGTGATGTAAATTGGGGCAGAGTTATAAATGGCTTTATATGTTATTGTTAATGATTTGAATTTTATCCGTTGGGCAATGGGAAGCCAGTGACACATAATGCCCTCTCCTTGACTTCCTGTTGAGCATGGTAATACTCCTTTAACCTCCCTGGCGGTTTTACCCGAGTGTAGCTCAGGGGAAAATTTCTATACCACAAACGGTAACCCAGAGCTACACTCGGGCTTACCATGCGGCGCTGCTCTGGGGGTCCCTGCAGCACTTACCTTGTCCTTCGTTCCCACGATGTGTCCCCTGCAGCATCCCCGGCCATCTCCTCTGGCCGATGCCGGCATCCGGCTTCTGTGTTCCGGTCCCTGTGACGTCGGGACGTACGGGCGCCGCCGGCGGCGGCGGGAAATTTAAAAAATTTAAAAAATGTCATTTTTTTTTTTTTCAATTTTAAATAGTAAAACATTGCTGTTTCATCCCATTTCACATACATTTTGTCCCGAGTGCTTTGTCCTGGCGCCCTGCCTGCATTTTGTCTGTTCTTTCTGCCTGGAAACTTAGAAAAGTCCATGGCGTCCAAAAAGCGTCCCTTTACGTCAAAAGCGGTTTTAGACCGGCTAGAGAACAGCGATAGTAAATCAGAACCACTTGCAGAATTGAGTGATAATGATTTGTGGGGAAATCTTCCTAAAAATTAAAGCCTACAATAAAAAACTATTTCCGTGCGAAAAAATGGTACCGCTTTCAGCACAAAAAAAATCGGAAGGAATCATACCGCCAAGGAGGTTAAGGCTCAGTTGGCACTAGTGCTATTACAGATGTGACTTGAGTGGCACGGAATCACCATTGTTTTTAATGATGACCATTCACATCCCAATGTGATTTTGAAA